ATGATTGTATGTTTGCATTAACAATACTAAATTATAAAAAATTGCCTTACTTCAATCTCCGGGGAATCTGATATTCTGATCTAAGCAGGTAGCCTTACCCGAGCCAGTTAAATAAGGAGAAGGGACAGAAAGTATCAAGCCAGCTTTGTTTTCTGAAATTGATAAATGTAGGATGATAGAAAAAATACCTAACATAAACAAATATAACAATAATATGTAAAATACAAATACTAATTATTTATCCTTATTTTTAGATGTAAGTTATAATATGTTAATGCAAATAGATTGATAATATAAATTTGAAACACTTTAATTAATAATTATCTTTACTCTTGCTTTTAGATATAAATTTTAGATATGAATTATTTAGATGTGAATTATATATGTAACTACTGTATCTATATTGTCGTTTTAGGATGTTAATTATAATATATTATGATTATATAAATATGCTTTATGCTTGTAATTGTAGAAAATTGTAGTCCTTTGTACCTATTAAACATAAAAACTGAATATTTAATTTATATGAATCTTTTGTTCGGTAACCTGTAAAATTTGGTTAGAGATGCTAGGTACCTGTTGAGGGTTATTATTATTATTGCATACACAGAATGGAGTCTATACTTGGAAGGAATTGATTAGAAGTGTAGTGGGAAAGGCAGGGACACTTAGCTGGTTGGTCGACTGAAGAAGTGTTGTGGATTCACATCCACAATGCTGCTGCTTGCCCATGTAAGATGTTGGATGCTGAAGGGTTTCTCTTTCTTGGAAGTCGCTTCTTGGGCCCAGGTGCTGCGATGCTACTTATTGACCGGCACGTGGTTGGCCCAATGTGTCTATTTATATGTAGGAACTTAATTGTCCTGTCACGGTCGCCACTTGTTTATTAATAAAACAAATTTGGAAGCGACAAAACCAATATTTAATTCTACATCAACTATTTTAACTTTTTTAACATTAACAATTATTTAATGTCGGCGTGGAGTCCATAATTAGCAAAAGGTAAGTGCGGATATGGAAGTCTATTTTTTACAGGGTTGCCATAGATCACGTAACACAGATAACAATAAATGTCACTACACACACTCTGCAAAGGGCGCGTACACTAATATTATAAAGAGGTAAAGTTTGTGAGTTTGTGACATTGTAGGGGGGTAATCTCTGAATCTACTGAACCGATTAAGATGAAATTTTCTAAGAACATAGTTGGAGACCCTGGGAAGGATATAGGATACTTTTTATCCCGGAAATCATCCCTTAAGAAGGTGAAAATGGTAATGAAAGTTTGTATGGGGAATCAACATAGGGACGATTCCGAGCGAAGCTAGGGTGAGTCGCTAGTTATGTATAAATAATTATTTCATATACAAATAATTATGATTTACTAACGCTAACTTATTGATATTATTTAACAAACGGATATATTGTGAACTAAAATTTTATACGCAATGGGGTATTTCATTGAATATTTCGTAAACTTTTTAGGGTACGGTTACGTTACGTCTTTTTTCTTAAGGACAATTGGTTAAAACTTATTTAGAAGGTCGTGGATCGTTATAAAAAATCAGGAATCAAAACAAGTACCTAAATAAAAAGTCAACATTTTATGTGCAAAGTTTTATTATGATAAAAGGATACATTTTTAGTAATTGAGACAGTATATGCATATAATAAAATTGTAACTAAGCCGAATCTGTACATTAAATATGTTTTGGAATATCTTATTGAAATAGACATTATTATCGATACAGAGGCCGAATCTATTGTTTTTAGAATTTTTGTGTCTGTCTGTCTGTCTGTTACCGCATCACAGAAAAACCACTGGAGGGATTTTGATGAAATTTGGTATGATGATAGCTGGTTATCCGGGTCAACATATAGGATACTTTTTACCGCGGGAAAATGTCTCATTTTTAAGAAAATATACAAAAACTGCAACGTAAGAGTATACGTACGTAAGAGTTTTTGGTCATCTGAACGCGGGCGGAGCCGCGGGCAATGCTAGTGCTTAATAAAATAATGTAAATAACACGATTCTCTCAGTACTATTACGTATTTATTCTCTCGTAAACATGATATTATAGTGTTGACATCACAGAACAAACCTCTGCTCCTCTGTGTGTTTGTATAACATCCATATATTATCGAACGGGCGATATTAAAAGTCACTAATCTGTCAACAGCGGGTTTATGAAACGATGGTTTCACAGACGATTCGAAATGAAAAGCATTTAAGGCTTTTTAGCGACTTGCTCTGTGTTTTAATTAATTGAGCGCAACACAAATTCTTTTTGTAAAATAAAATTAGCCATGTCACTCCTTATAACATTACCTATCTGCCAGTTAAAGTTCCGTCAAAAACAGTCTAGCTGTTTCGGAGATTAACCGGAACAAACAGACAGACAAAAATTAAAAAAAAGTATTTTTCTTTTAAGCACCACATAAAGTAATTTCATAAAATAGCATTTAGTAAAAACGCTGTTATTTTGACATTACAAACTGCAATTTTATTTATCAGTGTAGATGTCAAATATACGCGTAAATCTAAGAAAGTATAATTTAGGTCTTATTTTTCACTGTTCAAAAACTTCGTAAAAACAGAAAGCAATGGTATAAAAAATATATATTTTGCTTAGAATTTTTAATACAATTAAATTTATCACATATTTTTCTGAGACAGGTTATGTTATTATAAACTAGTGGGAGCTAAGTAGGTATTATTTATTTTTTGTTCATATCTCTATGTGCTAAATCTTTGCGTCAAATAAGCCTTTAATTGGTGGAAAGACATCGAAGTATAAAGTAAAAAATTAATTAAATATATTTTATAATTTACTACTGACCCACCATTTCTATTCTCTAATAACATGCGCTTGGAGGAGAATTTTAAGTCTCCACAAAAAAGCCATTCTTCAGTCCATATATAGATATATCATCCTTTCATGTATCCGGTAGAAATCAAGTTGATTTAACATCGAACAGATTCACTTTCGCATTTACCTTTACTTATATTTAGTTGCTTAGAAAATATGTATTTCTACAATGAATGTAGTCTGGAGAATACTTTTAAAAATTGTATTGTTATGCCATAGAATATATATATATATATATATATATATATATATATATATATATATATATATATTAGATGACATCTTGTCTTAGCCCTTGAGTCGATTGTAAACTACATACTAGTACATATACCTAATATCTCGATACATCAAAAGTAATTGTAATAATGTTTTATTTACAGACATTCATTATAGGACTTAGAAGTGGTGAGATATTTTGCACTCCATTTTCACCTAAGAAAATAGACCCTATTCCAGACTTCATACATTAAACATCAACGTGTATTAAGAGCTTACTGTACAATAAATGGCATGCATTTAGGTACAATTTTAAAGGCTACATAGTTAGATAAAAAATCAAAAGCTTTATTTTTGAACGTTATATAGTATAGATATATTTATTTTCCCGTAATAAAAAATATTCTATATATTGACTCAGATATCCAGCTATCATCAGACCAAATTTCATCAAAATAAGTCCAATGGTTTTCTCGTAATGCGTTCCCTGACAGACTGACAGACAGACAGACAAACACAAAAAAACTATAGATTCGGCGTCTGTATCGACAATAATGACTATTTCAATAAGATTTTCTAAGAAATATTTATTATATAGAGTTTACACAGAAATTTTTTATATATGTATAGTTATTTTGTTTTATTATTGTCATTAATTCACAATTATAAAAGTAGTCCGAATTTAACAAAAAATATGTCCTTATTATTTAATCACTAACCCATACTTGCGTTTGAATTAAGAATAAACATATTTTGAAATAGCAGTGGTTTTCCTCATTAAACTTTTAGACTGATAATCCAATGTAAAATAAAAAAAAAAACAGTTTGCCCAGGGTTTCTTTTTCTTAGGACTGAGAGTTTCTTCTGCAACTAACATTTTCATTATGAGTACCATTTACATATGTAAAGTATTTTTTATCTATATTATGATACAATAAAGACAAACTTCGTGAGGAAACTTGCTGTGAAATGTAATTAATTTCCAAAAGATATGTAAACTCCGTCAAACCGCATTTCGTCAGCGTAGTACTGTTCCCCCTCGCACTTTAGGGAAGCCCGCGCCGAGCAGTGAGACTTTAAAAGGGCTGAAATTATTATATAACAATGCTCAACATCTATACATATAATAAAATTCTAAGTAAGCCGAATCTGTACATTAAATATTTATTGGAAAATCTTATTGAAATAGACATTATCGATACAGAGGCCGAATCTATAAGTAGTTTTTAGAATTTTTGTCTGTCTGTCTGTTACCGCTTCACGGAAAAACCACTGGAGGGATGTTGATGAGATTTGGTATGGTGATAGCTGGTTATCCGGGTCAGTATATAGGATACTTTTTACCCCGGGAAAATGTCTCATTTCTGAGAAAAAATACAAAAACTGCAATGTAAGAGTATACTAATATGTAAAACCTAAGAATTTGGTTTTTGGTCATCTGAACGCGGGCGGAGCCGCGGGCAATGCTAGTATTTAATTAAAGTGTACGTTTATGGAATACCTTTTATAGCTGTCACTTTGTCTTAGTGCTTTTTAACTGTACGCATTAAAAATTTCTTAAACTGGCAAGCCTAAAAGCTATCAAACTAAGAAAAGAAAATTAAATAAATCGTCTCACGTCAGATCCAAACAAAACGTTCACTTATTTATCATTATATAGCTAAAATAAATATTTTTCCGTTAGCAGGAATCAAACCTCCTATTTCTTTCATAGAGGCACATACTCTGACCACTACGCTAGATGGCGATCATATTGTTTATCCTCATACTACATACGAATATCTCCCCAACCGAACTATTAAGCAAGCCCCATTGACTGGCAACATTACAAGCCTGTGTATCGTAACATATAGTAATTCTTATGCTAATTTTATATCTTGTTTCAGATCATCTCTTTGCCTAACGTGAACTATGGTAAGTTAAATTTCAAAGTTTATGTGAGGCGTAGGCGGGTTTCGTTGACGTACTTTAAAAGCCAGTCTTGAATAATAGGATATGAGATGATAAATGTGGTTTTTCTTTATTAATCTATATGACTTAAAATGAAATATTGTCGCTAGTGAGCGCACTTGAGAATGGCTGATCCGATTTGTCTATTTTTTTAATACGACAATAAAATAAATAATAAATTGAATTTAAACCATACTAATATTATAAATGTGAAAGTGTGTTTATTTGTTTGTTTGTTTGTCCTTCTTTCATGTCGAAACGGAGTGACGGATTGGCGTAATTTTTTGTGTCGAGATAGTTGAAGGCCTAGAGAGTGACATAGGCTACATTTCTATCGCGGTTATCTAATTTCCATGGGAAAACACGTTATAATACAATGTAAAAAAATATTTATGATCAGAATTACTTGAAACTTGGTATTAATGTTCTTCAATAGAATTAAATAAATACTTGTTTTAGCTTTTTTCGAAATTCATCCTATAAGGGGGTAAAATAGGGGATGAAAGTTTGTATGAAACTACTTTTTTAGAGATTTTTTGTAGTTTTAGTGCCAGCGAAGCCGCGGATTCTGCTAGTATATATATATATATATATATATATATATATATATATATATATATATATATATATATATATATATTTTAACATAATATCATAGAGTAATACAGCGTGTGTTCCACAGAAATTCAAATTCTGCTCGGACGGTGACTGTCCCCTGTGGGCTTTGGCGGCTCTGCACGCACTGGGCAGCCTCCCTGCTCCGGTCTTCAGGACTCTTCTGCATCATGTAGTTGAAGAACAACCTGTAAGTATAAAGACATTATAATCTTAAATTACTTGTCTTTACCAATTCCTTAAAGTATCGATCCGAAGGACTTAAAAAGTTTAAAATGTTAAAATATTATTCCTATTTTTAAGCTTCTAAAGTGTTAGCAAAGTTTGCATGAGACACAATGTTTCTCGTGTCAATATAAAAAAATAACTAGTATTAAATATTTCTTCTAGCACTCCGCCCAATTCTCGCTGTTTTAAAAAGCTAGGATCGCGTTTAGATAGTTGTAGGCTTAATAAAAATAACCACACAGGTGACGTCACAGGCAGAATTTATACCACTATCCGCGACTTGACAACTTAAAGGATATCTAGAAAAAAAGTAGCTGTTTTGCGGATAATGATAGTACGAGTAAGAACGAACACAAGACCACGTACATAAATATGAGACAATTTAATTTTTAATTTTTTAAACTATTTCATAATACAGTTTTATATAATAATGATATATTAAAGTCTAAATCTATTTTCCATTCAATTATTTGTTATTTGGCTTTTATTCGTACCAGTTGGGCACGGATTATCTCGCCAATATCGTGTAGAATGGAGAAGACAGGGTGTAGATGAGGTATTAACCGGTTAAAAAACGGATATTCACACTGAGGCAGTGAAGTCTACATATACAATATGAGCAATAATTTAATTGTATAATCTTAAACTACAACTAAATCTATTTTTCGAAGACACTATGAAATGTCTATAAATATATTTATCTTTATATCCTTACTTATTATTTGCCACATGGGAATCACATTTGCAAGCTTTTAGTCCGTCTTTGACTCTAATCATATAAATGGATAACTTTATTTGTGACGCACTCGGACGTTATATGTATTCTTTAATTTTTTTTTTTCATACAGAGTACGAGGGTGTACGCTAGATACGACATAAGATAACAGAAAAAATTATGAATAAATTATTGTAAAACTTTTTGGGTAGATATCATGTGTAACAACTATGTAATAACTTTTGAAATGTCTAAAATATTAGTCTCTCCCGTGACTATAAGCTACTATTATATAATGAGACCATGTTTGGTGTAAAATATTCGAAACGTCGAATAAAAATATATAATATAATGACGATAAAATCTGAAAAGTAGTTTTATTTGAAATTTCAATATTTGCGTAAATATAAGAAAGTATTACCTATTTAGTAAATCAGATCCAAAATGGGTGGTCAGATTTTTTTGTATTTTGTTTAACTTTGAATCGAATCTAGCAAGTTGACTTTAATCGATTGTGGAACAAGGGCGAGTCTGACTGGTGACTCGCACACCGAGGGTTCCGTAGCATGAAACGTTAAAATAAGCTTATGTTCGCAAAAAATAAATTGTGATTCTACTACAAATTTACGGCTTTCGGATTTTTCCCTTTACTTGTGCTATGACATTGTATTTATACGTGTTGCTTTTTGCAAAATTTCATAATTCTAGGTGCACGGATTTGATTCCCTTGTCCCTGGTTGGAGTGTCTTGTGTTGACTTAGAAGTTTCATTTTTTCACAGCTCCAAGGGATTTTAGAGCTGAGTACTTGATATTAATTTAAACTGAATACCTCCACGCGTTCCTGACAAAAGGCGCATTGACAGACAGACAGACGGACAACGAAGTGATCCTATACACTTATAGACTTTTTCATTTCGAAGTACGGAACCTTAAAAATAAGAAAATGATAATACAATAATAGAAAAAAATCAATGATCTTATCTGATGATGGAGCCCAGACGTGTAGGATATTAGAACTCTTTAATGGTTACTTGGGGTTCGAGGTTGGGCTCATTTGATTCGTCTTAGCGTGTCTCATATATTCGTACATATATATGTATATAGTATGATTTTTCTTATGCACTTTCATACATCGATATTGATCAATAAAACTATCTTTACATGTATACTAGCGACTTCGCTCGGGTTCGTCCCTAGGTACGTTTTAACGTTTAGTATGGAATAGATAGGCCATATATATATATTACTGCTGCGCTTCTTTGGGTAGTTGCATGATGATATATGGCCTATAGCCTTCCTCAATAAACGGGCTACCTAATGCAAAAAAAAAATTCAAATCGGTTTAGTAGTTCCTGAGATTAGCGCGTTCAAACGAACGAACAAAGAAACAAACAAATCAACTCTGCCTTTTTATAATATTAGCATAGATATTACGGCGCTTGTTCAACTGGGCTAGCCTTATAATTATAATTTTATATTTTACGAAAATCTGTTTTAAAAAAAAAACAAATAATTGTTGTATTTAATATTTATTTTACAAAAAGTATATATATATGTTTTTACAGGACGATGGCATCATAGAAATATTAAAAGACACGAGCTTGTGTAAGTGTATTTTATTTACTAATTAGTAATTATTGCTTGGGGCTCTCTCAACGTGTAGTTGATACCTACCTTAGCTGTGTTAGTGCGTTCTCGTTTACAATTATTTATTATTAATTCGTTTAATAAATTATATTTTCAATACTTTATATTATTTTCAGTATTTTCTGAATGTAATTTCATATGTTTATATAGAAAAAAACTGCCACAGACGCTTTCCTATTTGGAATTCAATTATTGATGTACTATTTTACTTAAGTAAATAATTAAAAATGGATATAGCCTTACTCGGAAAACATCGTGAGGGAACCTGCACGTCTGAGAGACCCTAGCAACTTTTTGAGACATTGTGAAGTCCGCCAACCCGCACTTGGCCAGCGTGGTGGACTATCCACCAGCCTGATCCTCTTCGTATTGAAGGGACCTCCCTTGCCCGTGCCCAGCAGTGGGACTTTAAAAAACACGGCTGTCTCCCATCGGGAAACTACGGGAGTCAAAAATCAATATAAATCTGAACAGATAATTTTATTTAATACTAGCAGAATCCGCGGCTTCGCTCGCGCTAAAACTACAAAAAGAACCAAAAAGATAGGTTTCATATAAACTTTCACTTCCTTATGGGATGAATTTTGAAAAATGCTAAAACACGTATTTATTTAATTGTATTGAGGTGCATTAATATCAAGTTTCAAGTAATTCTGATCATAAATATTTTTTGGGTTGTATTATAACGTGTTTTCCCATGGGAATGAGATAATCTCCCGCGATACAAAGTAGCCTATGTCACTCTCCAGCCCTCCTACTATCTCAACACAAAAAATCACGCCAATCAGTCGCTCCGTTTCTATGTAAAAGAAGGACAAACAAACACATTTTCACATTTATAATATTAGTATGAATGTCCAACATTCGCATTCTAAAGAATATTATTTCTGTTACCGTAGCATCACGTGACGAATGCGCGCGCGCAGCCGCAGTGCTACGTTGGACAATGAAGCAGGCGCACCGCTGTGGGTGTAGCGGGGTTCAGCTCGCCCGCGATCTCTTGGTTCTGGGAGTTCCCCGCGCGCATGCGTCAGCGCTGGCGGATGCTGCGGAGACTGGACGAGAAGCGTATGAGTCGCATGTCAGGAATAATGGCTTTATGGGTAAGGTGGATTCTTATAATATTCGATAAAGAAAATCTAATTTAAGAGTCCTATATTATCAGTTTTTTTATATATTAAGGTATATAAGTTTAATATTGCACACACACAATATCAAGCGTAGGACAGACTGCTTTACGTTCTCTAAGAGACACCGAAGCAATCATTCCAACTTAAGTCTTCCCAAGTTTGGATTTCTTGATAGAAACACCCAATAACTATCGAACCCAGGACCTTCGGTATTACAGTACAGTAGACTAACGAGATGACTGTTTAAAAACAAATTACATGAATAAGTGCATTTATCTATTTTATTTTCAGTTAATAAGCTCACAGATATAACAGCATCGCCAGGTCCCGAAGGTACGGTAGACACTTTCAAACTCACCCTACAATCGGACGATGTGTTTACTGGAGAACAAAACACAACCAATATTATAGTTGACAAATCCCAAGTCAAATTTTTGCTTGAAGAACTCAAGAAAGCCCAAAAGAAAATGGATGAAATAAGTGCAGAATAAATTTTATTTATTAATTTGTTTATTTTATAAAGCTTTAATTTTATTTTTGTTTTGTGTAAGTTAAACTTATTTTATTTGATTATACTATAGAGATAATTTATATTATTGTAAATCTGAACAGATAATTTTATTTATTACTAGCAGAAGATGGCTGGGTACTACCATCGTCATGGGATCCTGTTATTAATATAATAAAATCAAATAATAAATATAAACATAACAGACAGGCAGATGTAGTAAGTTCATACTGTGTAGATCAAAATGACAGCTTATCAGACTAATATTTTTCATTTTTCATTTGTAAAAGTATATATTAATAGTGTTGCTTAGTAAGTTGTTTTTTAAAAAATAGCAAACTAAATTAAAATTATTATCCTTAATTAATTTTAACTTTTTTAAATTACACATAGAACAATTATATGGCTTTCATAATTAATACTACATTTTATATTTTTCTTTATGGTTATAAATATAATAATGGCAACACTAAATATAGATTACTAATTAATATTTAAAATTGTAATAATTATAAAAATAATAGCAAAATTAAATAAATAATTTTCCATATTCAATTATAATTAAAATTATAAAAATGTTTAAAGTTAAAAAATATTGTAATGTAATTGGTGCAATTTTCATTTTGTTAATTGTGGGTAGGCTGTCTGTAACAACTATACATTCAAGACATGTAACACCTCAGTCTCTCCCGTGACCATGGATGCTGTAAAGCATTCGAAACGTCGGGAAACAAAAATCCAAATAAATCCGCGACAAAATCCGAAAAGATAGTTTTATTTAAAATGTCAAATATTCGCGTAAATCTAAGAAAGTATTATATTATTGTTTTATTACTCATGTCATATATTTTTTAAATTGCATATAAGCTGCACCTTTTCTGCTGGATTATATTTTTCAACTACTACTTCTTATTATAATTATTGCAAACCAGATAATTTTTAGCTAATTCCTACCAATGATATGTATTAAATTAAATATTCAAAGTATTTATTCGACAAATAAAAGTATTAATTACGATGAGAATATTTCAGTATTTTTTAATTATATTTCGTAATTTTTTGACTGAAAATAATGACAACTCGGTTTGTTGCCGTTTTCATAATACCCAAGGCTGTTTTAAAACTTTTATTGAATCATGATTAGGTTGCCTATCATCTGGGGGCACGGTAGTGCCTCGCTAAGTCGAGCGTTTTAGTGACCTTATCACTATTAGATAGACCTTAAACCTTTATTTCTTTAATAAATAGAATGACTTGATCATTGCGCACGGCAATAGAATAATAAAGTTTAAATAAAATGAAAGTTTAAGTTTATTAGCGTTCTAGCGCATTATTTATATTTGTGTATGCATAAATTTGACCCGCTAGTGCTATGTCTATCTCAATTGAGACTATTTAAATTTTAAAATAGTAGATTATTCTCATGTGATTATGTTTCCGTCCGTCATTCTATTGATTAAAAAAATAAAGATACCTAATATTGATTCGGTCACTATAAAATATTCTTATTTATCTAATTAGGTAACAATTTAGGACAAAGAGGCAGTGGTAGCCCAGTAGTGATGCGCTCGCTTGTGTAACTGAGTGAAGCGGGCTCAAATCCCGGGTCTCCCACCTCTGATTTTTTCATGTGCGAATCATTTCCAACATGATTACCACTTGTCTTACGGTGAAGAAAAACATCGTGAGGAAACCTTTATATCTGAGATATTATAAGAGATTGTTCGTTCTTGAATTTGTTTTGTTTTTCATGGGTTTTAAACTTATTTTGTATAATGACTAAGTAGGTTGCCTGTCTATTGACTATTATTATTATTATTGAACTGGGTTCCTGAATATTATTAGACTAATAATAAATACAGTTACATGGCCCTTGGTGGACAATGTAAGTATAGAACTATATTTGTAAATAATCATAAGTCCCTTGATCGCTATATCGGCGTAGGGCAACGGATTATAAATAGAGAAAAGAGTGCCAAGCACTTCCATCTATCACTTTCTATAAAATCTTATCATTAATACTTACTCTACTCTTTCTCTCTACTTTTGGAGTTTCTGACCCAAAATAGAAAAAAATAGAGCTTATAGAATATTTGAAATTAACAATAATATATACTTATGTAAATCGAATACTTAAGATATAAAAGATTCAATTCATAGATCTAAATCCTAGAACAAACAAATCACCGCCAGCAAACGTGTAAGTAAATAATGATTTTTTTGAACTGAATATTAAGGAAATAAAATAAATTAGTTAACAACATTAAATAACGACTGACAAAAAAATCTCTCTAGTTTACTCTGTAGTCTGTACAGTGTACTCTGTACAGTGTACTCTGTACTATGTACTATCACTATGTAGTCTGTGTGGTCTGTCAAAAAGTTGAGTGACAAGCGAGTGCGAACTTAAAACTTTTAAAAAAAGAATCGTAAAAGAATCGTATAGAATTGTAGAGAAAAAAGTATTAAATTCGACTTAAATGTGAGGGTGAGTTATAATTTTTTATAAAATATATACAACTACAAACTATAACTACTTAACTAAAAGTGTGAATAGATACAAAAGCTAATATAAGAAGAGACAAGTTTCTTATCTAATATCAGTTGTTTGTAAACTAACCTTTTTTAAAAGTAAACAAACTAACATTATTTGCTTATTTGTACCTATAATAAAAATGTTATATTTTCAGTATTTATCATAAAATGCATATCTTATGTACGATATGTAGTGATTTGGTGAATCAGGCTGAAAATATTCATGTAACCAAATGTGGACATGTATTCCATTACCAATGTTTATCACAGTGGATATCCAGGTAGGTACTTCAACGTCGTTAATTATTAACGACTTAAACCATTAACTTCATAACATTTGCATAATAACAGCCATTATAAAGTTGATAAATAAATAGGCGGCCGTTTAGAATTGGGGACTTGGCCCCTAGCGGAGTGGGTGGTATTTCTGGATAAGGGACGTGATAGGGAGTCGAAATGTTAAATAAAAAATTTTAATACAACAAAAGAGTCGAAAGTTATTGAGACTTAAAGTTATAACATTTCCATACATTATTTTGACATTACTACCATTTAGACACTTGGAGTCAAAACGTCACTTTCAATTGTCAAAATGATCTCCAGATGATTGTCTTTATTTGTACTTTGCGTGAAATTCGAATTTTCTAGTTTTCTAGTCATTTATGGCACTCGCCGGCCGCTACCGCGGCACGCTCGCTTCGCTCGCTCGGCTCGTGCGTTGTGGCAACTGTTCTAACCTAACCTAACCAAGATATGACGAATAATTAATAAATAATCTTAAATGTTCTAACCTAACCTAACCCAGATATGAGGAATAATAAATAAATAATCTTAAATGTTCTAACCTAACCTAACCCAGATATGAGGAATAATAAATAAATAATCTTAAATGTTCTAACCTAACCTAACCAAGATATGACGAATAATTAATAAATAATCTTAAATGTTCTAACCTAACCTAACCCAGATATGAGGAATAATAAATAAATAATCTTAAATGTTCTAACCTAACCTAACCCAGATATGACGAATAATAAATAAATAATTAAAAATATTCACAGATAAAAAAATGATTTTTTTTACTAAATGTACAATTGTAAAACAATATATTTTACATAAATCAAATAAAAAGTTATAAATGTATTTATAAAGTGAAAATAATATTTTTCTTTTTATTTATTTATTTATTAATATTAATATTTTACCAACAGAAAAAGCAAAAATAATCAAATATAATCTGTTGTCATTTAAGCGGTAATATAAAACAAAGTGTCAGTTTTGCTTTTGTCAAAATGTAAGATCATTTTGTTTGTGTTGTGAAATTATTAAAATATTAAATACAATAAAGCATTAATTGTTGTGAAAATGTGTAATGTACATAAAAAAGGATGCGTACTATTCGTTAAAGGTATGTTTATCTGTTGTAATCACTTATTTAGGTAAAGAAATGTATGGAAATGTGTTAGATATGTTATAACTTTAAGTCTCAATAACTTTTTAGTCGTACGTTTCCTCCAAATATTTTTAATATATTTTGACTCTCTGTCACCTCCCCTATCTAAAAATACCACCCACTCCGAATGGTGGTAAAGAAATATATGAAAATGTATGGAAATGTTGTAACTTTAAGTCTCAATAACTTTTGAATCTTTTGTTGTATTAAAAAATTTATTTAACATTTCGACTCCCTATCACGTCCCTTATCCAGAAATACCACCCACTCCGCTAGGGGCCAAGTCCCCAATTCTGAATTTGTGCCAATAAATATTATTGTTTTTAAATTACCTTCATTGATTAGAACTTAAATTTGTTTGTTCAACAAGTACGTATTTATTGGTCCAATAGTAGTATTTTATATTGTTTATAATATCTGCTAAATTCTATTATAGATCTAAGTCATGTCCACAATGCCGTAATAAAGTAACTGATAAATGCACATACCGTCTTTACCTGACTATATCGAATGAATCAACTGGTGATGATGCAGCTACGTTACAATCACGACTTGACGATGCACAGCTTCAACTCAGACAGCAAAAAGCATCTTTTAAGGAAAACGAGGAGAAGTTATTGACTATCGAGAAAGAATTAAAAAAAAATATGTTAGTATTTTTGTCACTTTGTTTATTCTGCTACTTTATTAAAAAGATCTATGAACTAATTGATTACATTAAATAAAATATAAACTATTATATATTAGACTTTAAACCTCAATTAATAGCTAATTTTCAATTTTTGAGTAAATGCTGTTGCAAACATTTATTTTCAGAGCTCTATTAAAAGCTACAGAAAAGAAACTGGATAGTAAAGAATCAGCTGTATCAGCATTAAAAGACCAATTGGAATATGTCAAAATTCAAAATAGGGAAACGCAAAAATTGAAAGAAGAGAATGAGTCTTTGAGAAATAAAATGCAAACTTTATCAGGGTGAGTTTGAGTTTACTAATATCTATAATATATAGATAAATAAAACACTTCAAGTCTATTTATAATGTCAAACTAACAGCTTTTTACTAAATACAAATGAAGTTATGTATTTGGTTAAGTTTTTAAGGAAAACAATTTTTGATTTCTTTTGTCTGTCTGTTTGGTCCGGTTAATCTCTGAAACAGCTGGACTGGTTTTGACGGGACTTTCACTGGCAGATATATGGTGTTATAAGGAGTAGACTTTAATTTTATAAAAAGAATTAGGGTTCTGCTCAAAAAAATTAAAACATACCTAGGGATGCACTCAAGCAAAGCGAGGGTAAGTCGTTAGTTTGTAATGTAAAAGTGGAAATGTGATGCTCATGTTATTCTGAAGTACTTGTTGACATACCTGATTAGTATTTTTTCTGTTTGTACATATAATGTTAATATACTTAATTTTAATTTTAAACAGTATGGAAAAGGTACTTAATGCAACAAGTGACGAAGTTGAACAGATGCTTGAAAGTTACAAAGATGTGAAGACAGTTGCAACATTTGCTACAGCATTGAAGAGGTACACGATAATATTATATGACTTGTTTATTTAGATTTTTATATAAAACCTTCTTTCTTACATCATGGCTTTGGTAAAATCAAAAAGGCAGTCAATTGGCCTAATAATCATATTTTAAAGTGTAAGTGAGTACTTATTTACTTACTAATAATTAAATATAATAAATCTTTTCTTATTTATGACTTCAGAGCATTGTGTGAATCTGAAAACAAAAAGAACCAATCGCGGGATAAGCTACAGATGATGAAACAACAACTGGCCACGGAGAAGAGTAATAATGCAGAATTACAAAACAAAATACAGTAAGTAATGTTTTTGATCACCTGTTAAGTTAATAGATTTTAATGGCGAGTTAGGCTCTTAATTTCTGAATTTGTATTTGTGGTAACAAATACAAGCCATACTAGATTTCAGGCCAATTTTTTTTTCTAGGCCAAACCGGTTCATTTAAAGTGTGTCAGGATATACTAGTTTAGCCCAGGACTACACTCAACTTCTCAAACTATGTTATCCAAGTCTGATCTGTCAATAATATCACCCACTCCAGAGGCCGCGTCTCATACACTAAATTGCGGCTAAATAATACCTCAAAATCAGTTCGGCCTCTACAACAAAACAAACAAATTAATAATCCTAAAGTATTTAGTATTTTGTCTGGGCTGAATGGTTTGGCCTAAGACCAACCAGTTCAGAAGATAACATATTGCATTATTATTCTTTAATCAGACCACGCTTCCTCAGTCTCAGACATTATAATTAACAATTAAATTTAATTTTACAGCATGCTTGAAGAGAAATTAGCAAAAAGTCAAACAAAAAGTGACAACACAGAGGGCAAGAGAAAATCTCTAACTGATGACTCTTGGCAGATTGTGAAGAAGATGAGAATCACAGATGACTTCAACGATGCTGTCTTAATAAATGATAATAATATAAGTATTGTAAGTTTTATTATATTAGCTAGCTATCTGTCACCGTTTTGGTCTGATCCTAACATAGATGTATCTATATATGTCTATAAAATAAATAAATAAATATGTTGGGACATTAACACACAGCACCGTCCAGTTCCATGGTAAGCTACAAGACTTGTGTTATGGATACCAGATTGTTGATACACTACACATTTATAACATTAAATACATACATGATGTTCTCCTGAGCGATTCCAGCTACGGCGTTCAATCTCATTGAGACTAGCAGGAGATATTATAGTGCTCAAGTGTACGCGCAGACACAACGTGCACTCTCTATTCCTGTCACTCTCATACTCCGGTGGGACGACACGAGACACGACCGGTGAGAGTTAAGGCACAGGGCCGACGGCTTTACGTGCTCTCTGAGGCACTGAGGTGAAACACCGCCATCTTCCCAACTCCGGGCTGCTACTGCGACTTACCATACAGAAAGACTCAATAACTAAACTTGGCCTGACCCGGGACTCGAACCCAGGACCTCCGAGTGGGCAGCCGTACATGCTAGCCACTACACCACCAAGGCAGTCATCAATTTAAAAAAAAGTATATACATATTATAAATATAAATATAAACACCCATGACTAGAGTACAAACATTCGTACTGATCACTCAAATGAATGCCCCCAGCGAGACTCGAACCCGTGACCGCTGGCACAGCAAGTAGAGTCACTACAAACTGAGCCAAACTTGTCGTGTCTTGTATATGTTGTCGTGTAACGTAATATAACACGGATTGTACAATACTGTGATGATGATGTCTTCTATCTCACTGAGACTAAACAACTGCGCAGGAGATATTAGGTATAGTATACAAGTGCACGCACAGACAAGTGCACTCTCTATTCCTGTCACTCTCATACTCCAGTGGGACGATAATTCCACATAACCAGCTTTGTATGCCCTCCGAGGTATGGGGATGAAACACGACCAGTTTTCCAACAGGCAGTTATACAATACTACCCTAATATGTTGAATATAATACTCGTATAGACTTGTGAAATCCGCCAACTCGCACTTGGCCAGCGTGGTGGACTATGGCCTGATCCCCCTCGTATTGAAGGGAGGCCCGTGCTCAGCAGTGGGACTTTAAAAAGGGCTGAATAAACATTGAATATAAAGAAATTACTAAACTTTAATTTGGGCTATTATTCTTTTCTTTAATGGGCGACGGATAGCGTTTATCCTCAATTGGATATAAAATACGTTATTTGTTATATATTATGGAAAGTTATTAGTATATGTAATTCCATTTTTAAATTGTTACAGACGTCAATGGTGAAAAGAATTGAGAATGCCGACTCGCCATACTTGTGTCTCAAACAGAGCAGCCTGGCCCTCACCGCTCTGCAGAGACATCCGACACACCCATTGCCTGACAAAAATCTTAAGGTACTTATTTTTTACTTATTATTTCCCAGCACTGCTCGCATGGAAGTTTTTATTCCATACACTGAACTCCATTAGGTCCCACACATTAAAAATAATAATATTTATTTAAACAAAATATACTTTATTTTATTATTAACTAGCGGTTCACCCTCAATTCGCTTCTGGTTCCTCCCTAGACAAAAACAAATCTATCCCACGGGAACCGTACATTTTTCCGCGATAAAAAGTCATCTATGTGCCAAATTTCATCCAGATCCATACAGCCAGAATGGCTGTATATATGGAATAGTAACAGACATCCATACATCCTCACAAACTTTCACATTCATAATATTAGTTTTATGCTATTTTTTCAGCCATCCGAATATGCCCTCCTAAACTCGGCAAGGAATATAACAAAGAAAAATGATACGAGTTCAAAGACAAGCATATTTCACAAAAAAGAGCCAGTCCAGATACCCCTTTCGCAAGAAAATGATCCCAATATGTGCTTATTTAACATATCCTATGATGGACTCGGAGGGCATTCTAAGTTGGACACATTCCCAACACCCAATAAACAACCAATCAAAAGCTTAGTACCGAAATTGAGTGCAAAACATAAATTAAAAAGGCCAAACCCTGTAGGCATCCAAGATATTAGTAAGATGTTAGAAAAGAAGAAATGTAACTAATTTATTATATATACATAATTAGATTAATGTTCAAAACAGGTTAATGTTATGCAGGATAATTGCTATTTTCTGTAACACAATCATATTGTTTATTTTTTTGATTATAATTTTCCTCTCAATTAATCTAAATACTAGGGTGGAGCGAAAAAAATTTTGTTTTCTTAGCTTGGGGGTGGAATTTGTAGTATTTTAGTAGAGTTGTCCTTTTTAAAGTCAATTAAAAGTTTGGAACGATTTTTTTTCTGTCCATTATTGCAATTTTACAATAAAATTGAAAAAAAAATAACAGGTTACTTTTTTTGTATTACATACAGTGAAAGTTGAGTAGAAAATGACGCGACGAATTGGTCAATTCTTGAATGCTTTCAGACAAACACTCGAAATTTTTTTTTATTTCAAACCAAAAATTTAAATTATTTATTTTAAAAATCAGTGGCCACCTCAAAACAAAATGTTGATTGTTTTTTTTTTCAAAAATTTGGTTTTTATAAGCTACAAATTCTACCCCCAAGCTAAGAAAAAAAATTTTTTTTCTGTTCCACCATAGTAATCAAATATTGTCGTGATTTTATCCCACCAAAATATCTACAATACTACTGCTGTGCAGATAATTTAGTTCACTTTATATAAATAGCTATAAGTTCTTCCAAAAAGGTATAATTTACTAAATTTTTAATTGTTCTAAAATAAAAGTTTGACTTAGGTTGTGAAATCATTCTTATGGTGCTTCCACATAGTAGTAAAAATTTTTTAGATAACATTACATAACATTTAACTTTTTTAACATTCAGTAACATGTTAACTATTGTTTGTTGTTTTCAAAGCATTCACACTGATAAGACGTATTGTAGAACATTTCTTAACCACCACTTTGGATTAGTTTGGTTTTATATTTTGAAATGTTTAATATTTTCTAATAAAAATAATTTTGTAATAAAATGTTTTTTTTTGCGATAAGATCTTCACTAACAAATGTTAACTAACATTTTTAACTTCTGTGTGGAAGCACCTTTATGTTTAATATTTCGATAGTGCCTTATATGTGATTTAGCAAGATGTATTAAATGATCTTTTTTCTTTAATATGACTAATAAATAACCACTCTGTTCAGAAAATGTATAAAACGACATATCTATTTACAATATTTATTAAATAAATGATTTTTAAAATACTTTGTTTTCTTTTTCAAACATCTTAAAAAAAAGGAGGTTCTCAATTCGGTTGTATTTTTTTATGTTTATTACTTCAGAAGTCCATCATTTATTAACTGATTTGGAAACATGGTTGTATGATAGCGTAGGCTTCCCAGATTGGTTCTATTTAAATTAAAACAAAAAACCACCCCTATGGTTGGAAAAATCCATACTAATATTATAAATGTGAAAGTGTGTTTGTTTGTTTTTCTTTCACGTCGAAACGGCTCGGCGGATTGGCTTGATTTTTTGTGTGGAGATAGAGGGTTAGTGTGACATAGGCTACTTTTTACCGCGGAAGATTATGTAATTCCCACGGGAACACGTTATATTACAATTACAAAATATATATTTATGATCAGAATTACTTGAAACTTGGTATTAATGTTGGTTCTCTTCAATACATTTAATTAAAAACATGTTTTAGCATTTCTCGAAATTCATCCCATATGGGGGTAAAATAGCGGATGAAAGTTTGTATGGAACCTACCATTTTAGAGTTTTTTTTGTAGTTTTAGCGCGAAGCCGCGGGTTCTGCTAGTTAACTCATAAGTCTTACTCCTATCTACCAGTGTACCATATTGCAGTTATCAAATATCTAATTCTGCGATATAGTTAATCTATAGCACATATAATAAAATGTTAACTAAGCCGAATCGGTACTTAAATATTTTTTGGAAAATCTTATTGAAATAAACATTAAATAATAAAATAAAAATCTTTTATTTCATTATTATCGATACAGAGACCGAATCTATAGTTTAAATTTTTTTTGTCTGTCTGTCTATTACCGCATCATAGAAAATCCACTGGAGGAATTTTGATGAAATTTGGTATGGTGATAGCTGGTTATCCGGGTCAACATATAGGATACTTTTTACCACGGGGAAATGTTTTGTTTCTGAGAAAAAATACAAAAACTGCAATATAAGAGTATACTAATATAATATGTAATACCTAAGAATTTGGTTTTTAGTCATATGAACGCGGGCGAAGCCGCGGGCAATGCTAGTCCGGTATAAAACATACTTTTAGATCTGTCTATCCTCTAATGGAACATTGGGTTAATGGACACTCATGCGAGGGTTAAAATCCCTTGTCTCCACTACGATGATCGAGACCGAGAAAGATTGTATTGACGAATATTACTTTGATTTAGTAAATTTCAATTCAATTCTCTTGTTAATGGCTTTAAAGCGTGCCAGTTGATCTTTAAAGCTGTACTTTAGGACGTTTCATTTTAATTAATCTATAACATTTTCACTTTCAAGTGTAACAATATGCCACTGGGCGTAACGTGCTCTCTCGGGAAACTGAGTGGACCGGGTTCAAATCCAACTTCGTACATCTGAATCTGATATTTTCATGTGCGAATCATTTCCAACAAGATTATCCCTTGTCTTACGGTGAAAGAAAACATCGTGGAGAAACTTGCATTTTTAAGAGAACCTGGCAAGTTTTCGAAAGACGTAAAGTTCACCCGGCTTGGCTAGTATCCCCGTCGTATTAAAGAATAAAAAGAGGCCTGTAGATTTTAAAAACGGCTAAATACTTCATTATGAATGTTTAAGTGGTTAATGAATTCACTTAGAGGTTAATTTTTAAGTTACTCAATTCTCTTGATATCTAAATACCTAATGAAAAAGAAATAAATCTAAATAAAAAAAGACTATTTTTTTTTCTAATCGATACCAGAAATGTTTAATCGATTCGCACTCGATTGTTTGACATTTCTGCTGACATTTCAATTCAACAGCTGAGGAAAATGTCGCCCGCGTTTCAGGATTATTTATAAATCTTTCATTTCTATAAATAAACATCGGTGAAAATTATAACAATACGCTTTCGCAATTGTAGGAGCGTTTGAGGTGTTTTCTTAAAAGTAATACGCAGCATAAATGCGTCTTAAACTTACAATGTTTACAAAAATAACAACGTTTATTAGTGTTTTTTTAATAAAAATAGTGACTTAAAGAAAACAGACCATCGCTGCTTAAATTAGCGACAAAGCCCATTACAGGACAATTATTAGTATTGATATAGTATCATATTTATTTTTTAAGTGATGAGACCTTCCGATAAAGTGCGCAAATTGTTTAATTAGTTTCGAATTGGCATAGCGACTTTGGTGTATTTATCGTGTTACAAAAGCTCTTTATAGGTGAAATAACAAAATGCCTGGTAAAATAAAAGTTAAAGTACTGGCCGGTCGTAATTTGCCGGTTATGGACCGAGCAGGGGATACAACTGATGCTTTCGTTGAAATAAAATTTGGTGGAGTGACCCACAAGACCGACGTATGTCGAAAATCTTTAAACCCACAATGGAATAGTACAGAGTGGTATAGATTTGAGGTTTGTTTTTGTTTTTATTTAATTCAACTCTTTTGTTAATGGCTTTCAAAGTGTGCAAAATGTGCCAAGTTTTTTTTATTTAAACATGTGCTTATTATAGACAGATACACAAAGTTTTTAATAGATTTTAATTATCTCTAAATTTATTTTAATTTTTCATAAAAAAATAATTTTAGATAACCACAAAATTTACTTTACACATGTTTCAAATATGATAATGAATGGATGTAAAATATGTAAATTATTTATGTAATAATTATTATTTAGTTAGCATTTAACATTTTCTGGATTAGAAATTTAAAATATGTGTAGGTAGAACAATAAATATTTTAAATAATTCTTTGCCTTTTATGTAACACAGCAATATTTTTGATATTATTACTTTAAAAATGTATTCTTTGCATATCTCTTATAAGCAAATAAAATGCCATAAAAACAAACATATTTTGAAAGTATAAAATATTGTAAACATATAAACTGCGACATTGTGAAATTTAAAATCGCAGCATTCAGGGAATAACAAGGTCATTTTATTTCTGTTGGCTAGATTACAAAATTATATTCTAATAATAAATAATGTCTGGCGTCTGTCTGCTCTCAAGTCTATATACATAAGTAATTAATTGTATTTAGTGCCATTTTTAACTTTAAGTGTTACATAATATACTATTAAAAATAGTATTATTATTGCCAAATCAGTTTTTATCTAACCCAATATGATAAATGAGATTAGATATTATCAAATTGTAACAAAATAAGTGGATGATTTGAAACTGTCGCTGATTTTAGAGCAAATATTATATTTTAAAATTTCGTTAAAATGACAAATTACAGCAAAATATACAATTACGCAGCTGATGTAAAATTATTCTGAAATACACAGCTGATGTCCGTAATGGCTGTACTGACAAATATAAATTTATAATGTGACTTACAGCTGTGGTGGATAGAGGTTTTGGAATTGCACTGGCCTCAAAAATATAGGGAATATATTGAACTCTTCAAGCTTAATAGAGAGTAGATGTTCTATGAGCTTTTTGTTATGAGATTTATTAAACATTGAAGATAACCAAGCGTGGGTTGCTAGTAAAGAAATATAATACATTAAAGTAGACAAAAGTAACACAAATATTTTTTTGAAATTTATTTTATAGTAGCGAGTTACACTCTCTTGGCACGTCATTAGCATAACATCAGCTATCTGCTAATGAAAGTCCCGTCAAAATCGGTTTTCCGTTTCGGATATTAGCCGGAATAAAGAGAGAGACAAATAGACAAAAAAATTAAAAATTGAGTTTTTCTTAAGTACCGTATATAATTCCATAATTATGCATTTAATAAAAAACTGTTATTTTCACATAACAAACCGATACTTCAATTTTATTTATCTTTACGTATAGATACAATTATTTTAAATCTCCACACAACTAGGTAGATGAATCGGAACTGCAAGATGAACCTCTCCAACTACGTCTCATGGACCACGACACGTATTCTGCTAACGACGCGATCGGCAAAGTTGTAATTAGCCTCGCACCGTTACTCGCAAGAGAGGCGAACAATGCAAATGGCACAACACCACCTGGAGGTAAGAAGTAAATATTTTTTATTTATATAATCGCTGATAGCCACTTTAAGTAGTAAATTCTTAGGTCTGTATTCTTGGGTCTGGGGCTGAGTGAAACACGAACTTGCAGAATATGTATGGAGGATGAAGTGCCTCTTCATCTTCTGGGGGAATGTGGATCGATCACGCATGCAATTTCTGGACCCAGAAAATTATCACAATACCCAGAAAATTTATCACAGCTGCAGGGTTTAGTGGTATACTCTAGTATACAATGCGGCGATTATAATAGATCAAGAATGGTCGCAGTGACATACATCTCTTAGCCGCTACACTGAAATAAAAAAATTAGGTGTGTGTAGCAATTGAGATTTCTCATTTCATTTTATTTATTCCATCACGATAACGTTAATATGAAATCGCGCCATCTAGCGACATGTCGAGACTTGTTTTCACTTTAAAGGCCATCTTCCCTATTTTCTTTTAAACTAGTATTTAGCTAATGCTAATCAGTGGTCACAGTTAAAGCTGACATATCTATATTTAAATGTAAAAGGTCATTCACGCGCAGACAACACGACATCTCGAAAACTACTTGACCTATGAATTCGAGATTTGGGAGGTAGTTAGTTTATAGATGGGAAACATTAGCGGCTTTAGTGGCCCGAACCGAAATATGGCAATTCATAAGCTATCATAAGTTTATCTGAACGTCTTATGTCTGCCAGAGATAAAAAATGAGCTATTCTGGACACCAACTACACGGGCGTGTACAATGTTAGATATCATTGTCTCGTACTAACTAATCATTGATGAATCAATTTTTGACGCATGTCTCATAAAATATCCACTCAAACAATAAAGTCGTGTTTATGATCGCGACGTGACGTGAGCGTTATTTATTGCATATTACCTAACAAATTATGAGCAAAATTAAACAACTAGTACTACATTTAAAAACATTAAAAATATAATAAAATATGTATGGTAAAGTTGGTCCTAAAAGCAAGGGTTAAAATATTTGGAATTTTTTTGTAGAACTCTTCCTCAACGCACTGTAGGCATATTACATATACATCGACAACAACTAGATGGTTATAGTGTAGATCCAAACGAATACCTAAATTACCGACAATATTTTTGTATGACTAGCGACTCACCCTCGCTTTGCTCGGATTCGTCCTTAGAAACGTTTTAATTTTTTTGAGGGGAACCCTAATTCTTTTTCTAAATATAATACTTTCTTAGATTTACGCGAATATTTGACATTTTAAATAAAACTATCTTTTCGGATTTTTTCGCGCATTCATTTTGATTTTTGGTTCAACAAAAAATCACCAATTGGAACCAAAAATCTTTTTCTAAAATAAAAGTAGTCATGTTACTTCCTATAACATCAGCTATCTTCCAGTAAAGGTCCCGTCAAAATCAGTTCAGCCGTTTCAGAGATTATCCGGAACAATCAGATAGACAGACAAAAAAATTTTTTTTCTTATAAGTACCGTATATAATTTTATTAATTTCATATGCATTTAGTATAACGCTGTTATTTTGAAATTACAAACAGACACTAAAATTTTATTTATCTGTATGTATAGACTAAGAGCCGAAAATAATGGTAAATATATACATTTATCAATGTTTATGATAATACACAGGTGCAGTGTTGTCCGGTTGGATTCCGGTGTTCGACACGATGCACGGTATTCGCGGCGAGCTGAACGTCATAGTAAAGGTGGAACTTTTCTCCGACTTCAACAAATACAAGACTTCTAGTGTTGGCGTACAATTCTTTCATTGTAAGTTATTAGTTTTAGATTCTAAAATAAAACTATCGAATTTCGGATTATTTTGCGGATTTATTCCGATTTTTGGTTCCCGACGTTTCGAATGCTTTACAGCATCCATGGTCACGGGAGAGACTGAGGTGTTAGATGTCTCTAAAGGCATTGTATACTTGTTACAGACATTATGTACATTTATTATATAGTTTTAGATTTACCTGTTTTAGGGTGTATTCGAGGCAATCAGTAAATACTCCTGCAGAGATATATAAAGATTTCTACATGTCGAGGCAGTGCGTGATAAGTTTGTTATAGAGTGCACGTTCGCATTGACCGTTGACAAAACCGGTTTTTCCGGCTCGATCTGTTGACAATGTCAGCCCGAGCGCATCCCCCTAAAAGAAAATGCTAACCCCGTGGTCGTCTTTTGTTGTAGTGTCCTATCGTACGGTTTTACGAAGCTTCGTTCGCTGTAGGTATATTTACTCATCAGCCCGAGTCGGTTATTGAGAGTATCACCTATTTATTAGCTGTGCAAAAAAAACTTTTTTTTTTGACACTTTTGGCTCAGTTTGTAGTGCTCATACTTGCTGTGCCAGCGATTGCGGGTTCGAGTCCCGCTGGGGGCATTCATTTGTGTGATGAGCATGAATGTTTGTACTCCAGTCATGCGTGTTTATATTTATAATATGTATGTATTTAAAGTTATATACTCGGATGTGTAGTGTATCAACTATCTGGTATCCATAACTCAAGCCTCGTAGCTTACTAAGGAAATAGATGGCGCGGTGTATTAATGTCCCAACATATTTATTATATTAATTTTTTCATATATTTTTAATTTATGTCGTTAATTGACCAACTTTACGTTATTTTCCCAAATCCAATATATAGGATATGTTTGCTAAATTTTTATATATTGATATTGTTATAATTGTTATAATAATAGGTTCATTTTATATCTACATTTTATAGATTTATTAGGTATGAGGTATCCTAACATATATCAAAAGTACGTTTTGACGCGCCAAAATGTGTACATTTAATAACATCGTTTATTGTTTAACCATTAAAATAGTAAGTATTCATATTTACGACGATACAATGTTAAAATATTATGTTTTGAAAAGTATTTATTTATAAACAACTATTCAGGTCACAACGCTACCTTCAACTTCTATTAGCCATCACGGACTTTTATTTTTGGTAATTATGTTTGTGTCGTTCATCTGGCAATATCTTTAAAACGATATATAGATATGTATATGTACAGTCGAACAGACATATTTAGGTGAGATAATGTGTGGACGTCGGTAAATATTTCTGACATAGTACCGTCAACATAAAAAAGACAGGTGGCTCGCGAATTTATTGGGTAACTGATGGTTTATTTATTAGTCCGACTAAACTATATTTATTTGTGATAGGTACAATTTTAACATAACTTTTTATTATTTAGGTAATATATCTATATCTCAGGTGCATTGTCTATTTCTTTCACTCGCAAAATCCGGTGGGACGAAGATTCGACACTCGCGTGAGATTTAGGCGCAGGACTGACGCGACACGTGCTCTCCGAGACACGCGTGTAAAAGTCTACGTCCCAACTCTGGGCTGTTACTGAGTAATTCTAGACAGAAAATCTTATAAATTATCTTAAACCGAACCGGGACTCGAACCTATAACATATGTAGCTAAACATGTTATTCAATTTAGTATATTCAAATGTCCACTTTTTATGCATTTTCATATAAAACTGAAAGCAAAGCAAAAAGCATATGTAAATGTAGATTAAACGTTATTAATATATAAGGATCATCAGTAGTAGGAAGTTATTAAGATATATAAGATATACTTATTAAGATTATGTCCATCAAGGTCCAATGATCCCACCAGGCTATAAAGCCACAGCGATACATGGTTTCGTCGAAGAACTGATAGTGAATGATGACCCAGAATACCAATGGATCGATAAAATTAGAACTCCGAGAGCGTCCAACGAGGCGAGACAAGTCGCTTTCATCAAACTTAGTAATCAGGTAAGATGCCCTTCTTTTGCTATGTATCTTTTCAATTTTTTTTTAGATAGCCTATAATATTGTGTTATAAATTAGTTATAAGACGCATTAACAATTTTTCAAAATATGTAACTGGTGGTTTAAATTTTATTCCAGGGTTATTGTTAAGGGTTCCGATGGAATAAACATTTTGTATGTCATTGTGTGTAAATCAGATCGCATAGTTATAAGCACAGTTTGGCGCTTATTAGAATAAAATAAAAAATACTATGTTCATGACAATGGCTACTTACTGATAACTTTATATTATGTAATAATAATAAAAAAACAATAAAAAAACTATCTTTCGGGTTTTTTTTGCGAATTTATTTTGATTTTTGGTTCCCGTCGTTTCGAATGCTTTACAAAGCAAACATGGTCACGGGAGAGAATAAGGTTTTAGATGTCTCAAAGGTATTATATAGTTGTTACAGACAGCCTACCCACAAAATACTAAAATAAATTAAAATAATTTTAAAATGGCACCGTACTTCTGTGCCTTACAATATTTGTTAATTTTAATTTTAAACATTTTTATAGTTTGAATAAGTTTCATAATTGAATATGGAATATTATTTATTTAATTTTAGCTGTTATTATTGTAATAATAATATTGTTTTACGTTTATATGAATATTATTTTTAGGTTCAACGTCTAGTAGGTCTAAAAGCGGCAGAATTAGGGGCTAACGCTGTAATCGGGTATCAACAGGACTTCGATTTGGAGGGCGAGGCGGGTGTCGTGGCCCGAGCTATTGGTGAGATATTCATTTCTTTTTCGGGTTTGGTTTTTCAGTTTTTATTGGGTTCCGTAGTCAAAATGTCGGGAATCTTTTTTTTCGTAATGTTTTAGACAGTCTGTATCTTACGGATAATTCTTTGCCGTCTGTATATGTATAATTTTATAAATTGTAATCTTTAATGTGCCCAATAAAGATTTTTTTTAATCAATAAGCATGGCACTGAGAGACTAAAAAATGCTAAGATTTAGGGGCGGCCTAAATAAAAAAAATAAAAATAGATCGCCACTGAATTTATTGAGTCACGCTTTGAAGGATATCCTAACAAACAATAAAATAGGAAAGTAGCAAATCAAAACGCAAACTTCATGTAGGTATTTTATTATCGTGTAAACTTTAAAAAAGTGATTAACATGTCTTAACAGTACGGTTAAAATTAGTCTTGGTCCAACCATTTTAACTGAATTTAGCTTAAGGAGAATACCACTAAAATATGACAAAAAAACTCACATTTAAATATTTCAGCCATTTTTCATTTTTCCTTTTATATCTTAAAGGTACCGCTGTTAGTATAAAACCACTTCCAACTCCGAACCTTCCGACGAACATGACTTGCACACAACAGTGAGTATTATTAAAAAATAAAATATCAAAAAAAAAATTCTGAATATTTAGTAAATTATTTAAATAAATGAAATAAGATTACGTAATTTAATATGTTTTTTGAATTGTAGTAAATTTGAATTGGATCATTTTATCTAGTCAATTTTTCTATAAGTCCCTTTAAATGAAGAAATTACTTGATATTAGTATACACTGTACACGCTTTCGATGTACTTGATGTTGTTATCGATCACTAAAATATACAATAATATTACTAAGATGAGAGAATTTTAACTAAAGATACTCATGAAAATATGTTTGCATGCTTTGTGTGTTGCTCTCTGTCACTCTGTCACTTAAATATTAGACAATTAAAAAAGTACTTGGACATTTTGGCGACTGATGAAGACAGTATAACGGATTTAAATCAATATTACCAAACGCATCAAGAGGAATTACTGAGAATCGTTAGCATCTTGAATCCAAAAGCCACAACCCTGTTAGATGAAGCTGATACATTTGATGAAGACGACAAAAGCCTAGAGTCACTAACACCACAACAACAAAATCTGAAAAATTATACTGGCGATTTATCTATATACCAAGACGAATATGTTGCTCGGAAGAGTTTAAGGCATCTATCTGAAGATCAAATAGATCTTAATAAGCTTTTGAATCGAGAAGAACCGGCAGACTCCATCGGCCCATTAAAAAAAATAAAGAAAATAAAAGATAATTTATTTTCTAAGAAATTCAGAAAAACTCGCTCTGGAAAATCTAATATGCAAGATGATCAAGTATCACTTAAATCAACATCGTCAGATACATCGAAAATATCGATAGCTGATATTAAAAATGAGATTAAAAAAATTAAGAAGTTAAAAGTCACAAAGCTTCTCAAAGCTGAAAATAAAGAGGAAGAAGGTATCGGCATGGCGTCAATATTGGCGCGATCAGTTATGCATGCTGATAGAAGCCTAGCTCGTATCTCAGAAACCCAAGATTCAGAATGTTCACCTTGTTCCACTTTGAGACGGACCAGTGAATCCGAGCCAGTACTTAGTACGTCTGATAATAATAAAACAACAGATACAAAAAATAACGATAACTCTGGAAGTAATGCGCCCGAAATACATAGTGGTTCCTTAGAGAATATAAGAGATACGGTCAATATCGAACGTGAAAGGAAGATATCCGAGTCATGTCCCTCTACACCAATGACTATAAGAAGCGAAAATCTTCTTAAATTACCACGGGATGTCGAATATTTTGGTTCTGTTTCATCAGCTCTTTCGGCTGAAAGTTCTGAAATGTATTCATCATCGGATGAAGATGATGAAAGCTCTGATATGAAAAGTGATCTTGAATCAGCTTTTGAGACGACTAGTTCTGTTGTCAAATCTGTCCTCAACCATGGCGTTGATCCAAACTTTATCGCTCAAATGGAAAAAAAGCTAACGGTACTCGAATCGAAAACGGCAAACGTTGGAAAATCGAATGATGCTCTAAAAGCGGAACCGACACAAAATTCCGCCGAAAACGTAGCAAAGGTAGAACAAAATATTGTTAACACAGACACCTTTGAAGAACCAAAGGATTCTAATAAAGACCGTAATCAAGATTATGAAAAGATAGTCAGTGAATCAAAATCTTCGCCTGCAAAAGAAACGTGTGTAATAAAACCAAATTCTCACCTTATAAAAATCCATAATCCTTTTACTCACAAAAAAGCCGCAAAGAGTATTAGTGCACCTTCATCCCCTGTAGAAAAGAAAGGCTTTATGTATCGCTCCTCAAAGCGGATCAAGCGACAAATGTCAAAGATTTCAAAAAGCAGCATGATAAAGAGCTTATCCCATTATTCTTTGCTACCAAAGAAAAAACATGTAGACCCAAAAACTGCTTTTAGTCAACCAGGATCAGCGTCTGACGTAACGTCTAAAGCTCCTAGTGACACGGTTTTAGGTTCTCCTTTTCTATCATATACAGACCTAATGAGTTTAGATAAAGAAGGATTTAATTCATTTAACCGTCTTCATAAAAGCGACGACAATGTAACTACGAAAGTATCTATGTATATTGGATCAGAACCAGTATCGAGAGCCTCTCTCAGTGGGCCATCGAGTACAAAAGACGATAGTCATTTACATGAGCAAAGATCATTTAGAAAAGATAAATCACGCCTCAAACCAACGGGTCTTATTCATACAGCAATGGAAACCATTTTAATGGATAAAGTTGATACTTTATTGATACCAACCAGTCCTGGCCCGGTTAAAACTGGCGAACAAAAATTTTTCGCCGATGTCCATGAAAAATTAGAAAAAGTTGAAGAAGCTCAAATACAAGAGCAAAAGCTTGCCGAAACTTCTAACGAAAAGAAAAATGCTAGCGATAAGGAAAAGTCTAATCGTAAACTAGTGAGACAAGACAGCATTCACTCCAGTGAAAGCGGATCGCGCAAAATGTCCAATGTTGAGCCTAATATCGTCATTCCGCCCAAATTAACAAACGCACCGGTCTTGCAACATTTCCATCCCATACTCAGTGGCGCACATTTAGAGACGATACCATCTCTACCAGAGAGTAGCTTTGATAGAGGCGACAGCTTAAATGTAGAAAGTGTGTCTACTAACAGTGTTAGCGTGTGTTTTAACTCGCATGCAGCGTGCAATTTTGACAGGGAGCGGGAGAGAGATAGGTGTGACAATAAGTGCGAGAAGGACAGAGGATCGCCGCGACACATGAGGCACGAGTCGTACGGGGGAAGAGAGCCTGTGGGAAGTGTTAATGCTCAGAATGCATCATTAAATTCATCGTCTAATCCCATGGGGATTCACAGACGATCATCAGATTCTGACCTCAGTGTTACACCGAAAGGTTAGTTATAGTTAACTTTATTTTATCCTTTGTTAATGCCGCAAAGGCTTTATCTGATATTACTATTTTTCTGTTACGGGTTCGATGCCTAAACGAGTGAAATAGTCTTCTTCTTACATATACGTAGTACTTACGTCGTATATAATATACGGGTAGGTCGCACCGGGTAGGTAACGCACTGGTTTGGATAAAAACAAATAAAATGGGTTAAACCCTTGCATTTCTGATATTTTTATTTCAACACGTTTACCACTTGCTAATGCAATCTAAATACAACTGAGAGAACCTAACTAGTTTTCAAAAAATGTAAATCGTTACTCACGTATGACCAGCATGGCGTACTGTGACTAATTCACGCCTCACATAAATGAGATCTTGTGCCCAGCAATAGAACTTTAAAAGGGTGGAATAATGTTCAATTAATATTCATATGTACGTATGTTACCATGTTATCATTATAGCAAATTAGAGACTCACCCTCGCTTTGCTTCGGGTACGTTCCTAAACAAAAACAAATCTATCCTACGGGAACCGTACTTTTTTCCGGGACGATATATGGCCTATAGCCTTCCTCAATAAACGGGCTATCTAATGCGAAAATAATTTTTCAAATCGGATTAGTAGTTCCCGAGATTAGCGTGATCAAACAAACTCTGCCTCTTTATAAGTAATATTAGTATAGATAATATTTTTATAATTTTAGGTAGTTCATTAAATGCGTCAGCTGGCAACACTGGTAGTGGAGGAGGCGCGATATTACGTCCTTCCATGAATAGCAACAATTTAGAAATGTTAGAGTACCCTTTCTTGACCATGACTGAGTATCCTCCAGGATTTATTGTTCATATTGGTAAGTTTGTTTTTGCTTTTTTTTATAAATTTTGACCGTGTTTGGAAAATTTTGTTTTATAGTTTAGAATTTAGATATGATAATTTAAAAACAGTTTTTAAATAAATGAGACTTGGCAACTATATTGAATGGGTGATTTTAATCGTCAATGAAGTCATATAGGAATTCGTTATTTTATATGTATAGATATTTTTAAAATTTAGATAGATATTTATTATTTATTTTTTATTAACTTTACGTAAACATTAATAACAATCAATCTATTGAGACTTATTGGAATAAATTGTTCTTTTAAAAAAGAAATATTTATTTCTATCTTTCTCTATTCGTTTCCGACTAGATCTCTAATTAGATTTTTCTATTATTATTCACAAACTAGTGACAAGATAACTTACATCTATTTTTTTGCATTCAACATTGATCAAAAAAGTATTAAACACATAATCAGCGACAAAAATGTCCATACCGAATGACCGCCCATTTGAACATTTGAGCGCACTTTAAATTTTTTTTGTGAAAACAACTTTAAGCATTGCATTTAAGGTTCTATTTACATTGTTGTACTTTTATTTCAACTAGAACTATTACTTAAACACAATTGGTGACAGTTTAAGAGAATTTTTGCATGGGATTGTGTATTTAGTATTTTTTTAACCCCCTACATAAAAATGACGGGGCGTTATAAGTTTGACGTGTCTGTGTGTGTGGCATCGTAGCTCCCGAACGGATGAATCGATTTTGGTTTAGTTTGAAAGGATATTTTTTTATCGAAAAGAATTAGTCGGGAGTGTTCTCAGCTAATGTTTGATGAAAATCGGTCTAAGATGGTGTATTACCTATTTTTTTCACAACTCTCTCAATATGGGTATCAAATGAAAGGGTTCGACTAGTAGAATACTATACACTATGTTAAATTTCAAATTCATGATGGTCGCCATTTTTAATGAATTGATCGATTGGGTGCCGTCAATGAATGATACGTAATTGATATACGAGAACATGGCAGGCGGCACGGTGTGCGCGCGCTCGGTGAAGCTGGTGGACGGCGGCGGCGAGGCGGCGGCGCGCGCGGCGTGGTGGGCGGAGCTGCGCACGGAGCTGCGGGCGCACGCGCGCGCGCTGCGCTGCTCCGCCGTGCTGGCCTACGCCGAGCGCGCCTCCGTGCGGTGAGACTTCCTGACTGTTGCCTTTCTCGATCCGCTGGACCGATTTAGATGAGACACTGGGAGAGTAAGGGGAATAAAATTTATCGTATCTATGTACATATATATAGTATATCCATCCCATGACTCGAGCGAAGCAATGTTGACTCGCTAGTCGCTAATATTGAATGTATCTTTGGTGACAGAAAAACCTAGTAACTATTTTAAGTGTGGCTCAACTATCGAATCCAGAACCTCTCGATTTGCAATCATACTTAATAACCACCAGACCGACGAGGCAGTTCCGGCGGACGATGTTTTAAGATATGAATACCTAATAGGTAAATATGTATTTTACGTATCAAAATATATTAAATTTCTTATGCGTCGGCTGGCACCGACTTCGAAAATATCTAATTAGGTATCTATTCTAAATGAAAACCCCCGTTTAGTTATTTTTTAACTTTTAGTGCCTGGAAGTCGATTTTTTTTTAAGTTTTTATTATTTTCGTACAGCGAAGACGTATGCGTGCTATCAGTATCTGGAACCGCTGCAGTTATTAACTTGGACTGCGATTTTACAGCAGAAGATCCAATTTCATGTAAGTATTCTTATAATTTTATTATAAAGTATGTAAATTACAGTTTTTCTGAATTTGTTTTTTCTATATATTTTTGTGGCGTAAGTCTCATTTGTAGTATCAAATACGCCAATTATTGTTTTACTGTCTGTTTTTTTTAGGATATTATAAGACCATTTAACATTATTATCAATCTTCCATTTATTTTAGGTAGTCACAGGTGTCAAGAACACGTTAGAAGAGTAAAAAGTGTCCCTGTCCATTGCATTTAACAGTTTTTTTAAAATTACTTTGTAGAAACGTAAATAACATTTTTATCAATGTTTCCAGTAGCCACAGGTTCCAAGAACGCATTGGACGAGGCGGAAATCGAACCTTGTTCCATCGCGCACGTGCCGTACTCGCCGGGCGCGGGCCCCTACCGCGCCGAGCTGGCGGCCTGCGGCGGCTGTCGGTGAGGCATCGGATTCTGTCCTTTTCAACGTCCCACTGCTGGGCGTGGGCTTTTTCTCAATACGAGGGGGCTCATGGCACAGTCCACCACCTTAGCCGAGTGCGGGCTGTTTGAGGATATTATTTGAAAATTTGCTAGGTTCTATCGGACATGCAAATTTTCTCACAACGTTTTCCTTTACCGTCACAAGTCGAAATCTTGTTAGAAATGATTCTCACATGCCAACCCGATGATGTTTGGTAGTAAACTTCACAGGATCACCCGCTGGGCGAACTGAAGATTGCCTTAAAATTTCAATATAATCGCTCCATCCGATTTGAATGATCATAGGAAACATACATACACACATCGATTTTTATATACATATATAGATGTTAGTCTTGTTTGTTGTTGTTGTCCGTACGTACATAATGTTTTCTTCTCATAAATACAACTTATTTAATATAACTTTGCAGGCGAGCGCGAGTGCCGACCGTGTTGCTGGCGACGTGCGTGAAGCCCAACAGGCTCACCGCATACGCTAAAACCATCACGCTCACCGCTGTCGGTCAGTTTGTCCGTTACAATATATTATTCTTTTCTTTGATCGCTTGAAAATAATGAATTAAGTGTCTTTCACTAATTTTATAAATGTTAAAAGTTGGTGTGTGAGTCTACTTGTGTGTGTGTGTGTGTGTGTGCAACTGAATACACACAGACTTCAAAAAAGGATATAATAATGTCATTATAACTAATTGATCTTGTATATAAACGTTTTGCTGATAATAATACGTATTGCCTGAGTAGATATGACCATTGATTTGTGCTTGTCTGTTTGTTTGGAGATGTCACGACATTAAGAAATCTTGCATGGTTTTTGTTTAGTTTCATTTGTTTTAATTTGTTTACAACGAAATTGCCGAAAGTTTTAAGTTACGACATAAATATTTGTTCTTATATTGAGATTTATGAATCAGATTGCCCAAAATATTCAACTTCTTTTTTTTAATAATTTAATCATTTTCATTTCAATGGACCTGAAAAATTCATGTAAGTCGTCATCGGCATGGTCACGTGACGTGTTAACGCTAACACTCAGAGTGCCGATAAATGTCAAAACCAGATAAATGTAAACACTTTTAATTTACAAATTTTAATTTAACATCAAACAATTAATTTGAATATCCAAAAATAACAACTGTTTGTTTATAGTTTTAAGTTTTCACTTCTGTCCGTAGTTCTCATGACTGCTTTTTTTGTTTTATTTTTTTAAGCGATATGACGGTGTATAATATCCAACTTCTTTTTTATCCAACTGTAAAGAAAGAGTTATGTTTTTCGCTCATATCTTTGTATATTTATTTGTAATATTCTTTATTCCCTCATATCTTCCAAATCACTCCATGGATTTCTTTAATTAAGGTATCGTCAGGTTCGTCTTATTAGTCCAAGTGTTCTTAGATAGGTGATATAAAAAAAAAATATGGGGGCTGCTAGGTTCCATAATGTGAAAAAGAAAAAAAAAAGAAAATGGACTTAAATTGACTAAAAATTTGGATTAAAAATTATTTTTATTTTTCCAATTCGCCGTAGCGGCCCGGTCGCGCCGCGCGGTGGGCTCGGAGGCGGGCGCGCGCGACCTCTCCGACCAGCTGCCCTTCCTCGAGTACGAGCTGCACAAGCTGTTGTTGGCTAAACTACGCATGCAGGTACGTGCTATTGTATCCTTCTCCTTCTTTTTGTATAGGAGGAGGAGAAGGAGACAGACAATCTGTATAAATATTATAAATGTGAAAGTTTTTGAGTATGTATGGGTGTTTATTACTTTTTCACGCTAGAATGGCTGAACGGATCTGGGTGAAATTTGGCACAAAGATAATCTGAAATAGCACATATATTACTTTTATCCCGGAAGAATGTACGGTGGGATATCTATACTAACCGTTATATATATAACTAGCGATAACCCTCGCTTCGCTTGGATTCGTCTCAAGTTTGCTTCCCGATACAAACTTTCATCCCCATTTTCACCTTCCTATTCCCCTTAGGGGATGATTTCCGGGATAAAAAGTATCCTACGCCCTTGTCAGGGTCTCAAACTATCTTATTACCAAATTTCATCTAAATCGGTTCAGTAGATCCAGAGATTACTACTACAAAGCCACAAAGTCACAAACTCGACCTGTTAACAATATGAGTATATATGCTGGTGGTGCCGGCAGGGCGCGAACGCGATCTTCTCGCTGCAGACGCAGATCGCCATCGGCGAGCGCTGCGTGCTGGCGCTGGCCAGCGGCAGCGCCGCGCGCCTCGCCGCGCTGCCGCCGCCCTCGCCGCCCAGGATCAAGGTGCCCGCAGTATACAGCTCCTCTAGCACTAGGCTCTTTTGTGTCACAGTATAAGCATTAAATATACAGTAGGTGATCGATTCATTTTAACGGAAATGCCGCCGAAGATTTAAAAAAAAAACAAATATAACCGACGGTGGCGAGTTACATCCGTCGACCCTAAAGCCGTATCCCGTTATATGAAAGTAAGTATGATAGTCGGGTGCTCCTCTCACTCTAACTCTTGGGTACGTGTCGCTGATAAATTTGTGGCAATACGATTTCTCTTCTTTTATATTTAATCAATCAGTTTTATATTATTCTATAAAATGATTTATTTAACAAAAATACAAATGTATATTACAGGCATCAGAAAACGATAAAAATGCAATAGAAATTCAAAAAGCGCTGTGGGACACGTTCACTGCCAACAAAGCTGCCAATGGATATGACATAGGTGTGTACAGACAAACATATACATTTTTTGTCATTCTATACCATTTTAATAATATCTCCATCGATCAAAAGCGTACTAGATACACAATCAGCGACATAAAATGTCCTCACCGAATGAGCGCTCATTTGAACATTTGAGCGCGCTTTTAAATTTTTTTTTTAGAAAAAAACTTTCAGCATTACATTTCGATATTTGCCCTATTTTCGATTTTCCTACATCACACAATAAAGTTAGTAAAATTTTAATAAATAATCATTGTGGAAAATTAATATTGTATGGAAAACCTAAAAAGAAAACAAAACTGTGACTGTCAGATTCTCAATCCTACGATAGGATATGTTACTATATTTGCGAAGTAAGACATGTCTCGGCTTCATTCCTCCGATCTCCTTCTTACATTTTTTCAACTAATTTGAATTAAAATTCAGCTAAATAACCTAAATAAAAAACCCAGTTACCAATAAAGTATTGTATATTATTATTTTTAAGATATTTTTTCTTTTCTCGTAGAACAAGAGCACAGTACAAACGGGTCGTTGCCGGAAACAGAGGACGAGGGCCCGGTGTTGGACCTCTGTGCGGACAAAGACGCGTGCGTGTTGGAGTTGGACGAGGCGGAAGATGTGAGTACCGTATTGATATATTTCTGAACAAAATAATTTAAAAACAAATCTATCCCACGAGTTCCTCAACAATCTAATGCAAAAAGAATTTTTCAAATCGGATTAGTAGTTCCTGAGATTAGCGCGTTGAAACAAACTCCGTCTCTTTATAATATGTATTTGTATAGATAGTAAAAAATAATGCAAAACTAAAAAAAATACATATAAATGATAAACATATTATATATTTAAAATTGCTTTATTACAATTGAAAACTTTAAACTAAATTTGTTTTTTTTATTAGGCTGCGGTTTTGTCTTGGTTTTAATTTTAATTCAATTTTGTTAATGGCTTCAAATTGCCAGTTGAGCACAGATTACTTTGCCAATGTCATGTAGAATGGAGAATATGGGAGGGAGATTGGTCGGTGTAACATTATAAGAAAAATAATAAAAACTCTTAGATTAATGTGAATATTTGACATCTACACTAATATTATAAAGAGTTTGTAACGAATAAACTTAAAAACTACTGGACCGATTTAGTTGAAAGGTAAGGAGATAGTTTGAGATCCTTGGAAGGACAGAAGATATTATTGTATATAAAATATATATATATGTTTGGTGTGAAAATGGAGATGAAAGTTCATATAGGGAATCAACGAAGCGAAGGTGAATCGCTAGTTTTAAATAAAACGGTTTTTTTTATTGTGCGTTTATTTTTATTTTGTTCGGAGGAGACTCTTCTGTTGTATTTGCTATAAATCATTCGGAACGGCAGAAACTAAACGTATAAATTAAAATCTGCGAACAAATAGTAATATTTGCAATTTACACATACATATGTATCGTAAAACAGAGATAGCATACAATTATGTAAATAAAGTTGTAAATGAATTTATTTAACTGTTTATTTATTACATATATAATATTATTCTCCAAGGTGGAGACAGCCAAGGCGCTGGCAGTGCGGAGGACGCACATGCAAGTGTTCACGAACGCGCTGCGGCCCGCCGACAACGCGCCGCCTCATGCTTTCATGCAGGTATGGGGGTTTGTTTATAAAGGCACTGGTTATTATAATTTTGTTTTTTTTCTAAATTTTAAAGGGCTTTTTTTAATATACTCATAAGTGTTGGAATAGTTAATTTCGTTATTAAAGCTATTTTCGTCTATATTTTTTTTAAATAAAATTATAGGGTCGAGGTATTGTATCGAATAATTTTATTAATTATTAAAGAACGCAAATATGTTAAATGCTTTGTGTTTTTTGAGATACAAAATTGTTTTGTCTTAAATAAATTCGATTTTTTTTTGTTTATGTAAAAAATGTTTGTTGTTTTAATATTAATTATTTGAATTGAAAATGATTTTTTATGTGAAATTCGGGACAGTAAAAAAATTAAAATTGTCTCTTTTCTTACCTTAGGGGTTGAATTTGTAGCATATGAAAATAAAATTATTGGAATAAAAAAAAACTTAATATTTTGAGGTGGCCCACTGGTTTTTAAAATAAATAATTAATTTAAATTTTTGGTTTGAATGATTTTTTTTCGTGTGATCGATGTGTGGTGAGTTATAATAATGTAATGTTGCAGTGAAAGTTGGGTAGACAATGACTATATTCGTCAATTTTTGAATGTTCCCAAAGATGATCACGCAAAAAAATCCATTCAAATCAAAAATTTAAATTATTTATTTTAAAAATCAGTGGGCTACCTCAAAATGTGGAATATTGTTTTTTCTTTCATAAGTTTTGTTTTTTATAAGCTACAAATATATTGAAGCTTACGGTATCCTCTAAAGTAATTCCAATAAATAGGACTCGTAACACGAAGGTCGTCTCATTTAATAACATGATAACACAAGTGGTCCCCCGCAGGTGTGGCGCGCGCGGCTGGGCGCGGGCGGCGCGGAGCGGCTGGCGGGCGCGGCGCTGGGCGGCGCCGCCTACAAGCTGCGGCGCCTGCGCCCCGCCGCGCTCGCGCCGCCCGCCTTCCAGCTCGACGCGCCCGAGGTGCCGCTCTCTCTCTCTCTCTCTCTCTCTTCCCTCTCTCGCCTTCTCACTCTTTTTCTCCCCTTGGTTTACTTTTTCCGTTTATTTATGGGACAATAATGCCGTAATCAATATCTAGCGACTCTCGCGTTGTTTCGTTCCTTCGATTCGATCCTAGATAAAAACAAATCTGTCCCATGGGAAGCGTATATTTTTCCGGAATAAAAAGTAACGTATATGCTATTCCGAACAAATCTGTTCCATGGGAAGCGTATATTTTTCCGGAATAAAAAGTAACGTATATGCTATTCCGGACTATAATCTATCTCTGTGTTTCATCCAGATCAATTGTCGTGATTGAGTAACAAACATCCATCCTTTCATCTTCACAAACTTTCAAATCTATTCTAATATTGTAAAGAAGAAAAATTTGTTTGTTTGTTTGTTTCAAATAGGCTCTGAAACTATTGAACCAATTTAGATGAAGTTTTGTAAAAAAATAATTCGAAAGCCTAGTGTCTGCACACTCACCACCTTGTACTATTTGTCACTTGTCACTATAGAAATTAAACTGTACTCGATTTTTAACCATATTTATTAAACAAAAATAAGACTATCTTATAGTTTGAGACAGAACGAAAGATAGCGTGATGTAGAAGACAGGTAACGCCATCTATGTTTAGTGCATGCAACTAAATTAACTTAAACTATTAAACACCTGGGAAGGACATAAAATAGTTTTTATCCCAGAAATCATCCCTTAAGGGAGTGAAAATGAGGGTGAAAGTTTTATGGGGAAGCAACCTACAGACGATCCCAAGCGAACTGAGGGTGAGTCCCTAGTTTATAATATTAGTATCATAATACGATGGGATTAATAGTAATGAGGTATTCCCATCAACATATGATTATCTCAGTTTTAAAAAAAATCAGCAATGGTACTTCCCCAGGATGAAATCCAGCTAGTTGTATCCGGCACAGCCATCCCCCTGTTCGATCCCTCCAAAGCGGAGCACAACAACGGGGTAGAAAGGGACGGGAATGAGGGAGATGATGATATATTTGCATTAGATGAGGAACAACTGGTGAAAGCTCCGGAGGTGGTGGAAGACAAGAATAATGGACCGGTCAGTATGAATAAATTTGTTTTTTTTTGTATATCACTGGTATACATGTAGAGGTACTATAATTCGGTGAAATGGCTAAAACATATTTTATATTTGCATATTGACATTTATTGACAAAGGGGGTTTTTTAATATATTAGGCCAGGAAATAGTTTTGTTTTTTAACTTATTATTTTGTGTTGAGATTTATGTATTTTTAATATTATATTTTTGTTTATACTCGTAACAAGCTTTTTTATCATATAAAATTTGTGTAATGTAATAAATTGATAGGATTAATTTAAAGTTTATTTCTTTTTAGGGCATTTGAATGAAGGCTTGATTAAAAAAAAATACTTTTATTAATATTTTCTTAGGTTTATGCGAATGTTTGACATTTTGAATAAAAACTAACTTTACGTTTTTTTTCACGGATCTATTTTGATTTTTGGTTTCCGACGTTTCGAATGTTCACGGGAGAGACCATGATTGCTGTAAAGCATTCGAAACGTCGGTAACGTAAAAATCAAAATAAATCCGCGAAATAAAATCTAAAAGATAGTTTTATTTGAAATGCTTTCTGTACATAAATCTCTTTTTTATTTTATTTTTTTACAAAGAAATACTTAAATTATTACTGTTAAACGTGCTCTGTAATATTATTGACCTCCATATGATTAAAGATGGAAGAGGGCGCTGACTCCTGACACACGGGTTTATTCTAGTTCGGGAGTCGGAGGCTTCAACAGGCTCATGTAACTTATGTAACGCCGCAGCAGGCGTCGTGGTCGCGCGTGTCGCTGACGACGCTGGCGGCGCCGGGCGGGCGCGCGGCGCGGCGCGTGTGCGCGCTGCGGCTGCTGTTCGTGCGCGAGACCACCGCCGTGCGCGAGCTGGGCGGCCTCAGCGGCTTCCTGCACACCTTCACCTGCGAGGTGCGTGCGAGGCCGCCACTTCCTCGAGGCCGATTTAGAGATATTTAAAGTTTTATCTTACTACTACGTCAAACTTACTACTAGTTTTGACGTAGTTACGATTAAATTAAAATAGTTATGGTATTTCCGAATTCATAAGAATTAGAACTTTATAAGTAAGACTATCGAGTAGCATTTTTTTGTTGGTGGTTCCGAATCAGCATATAAGTCATTTTTGACCAAATTGTTAGTTACGGCCTTCTCTCTTATGACGACAGTAAATAGTCTCGATGGTATAGTGGCTAGCATTTACAGCCGGAAGTTCAAGATCTGTCGTCTCTAATACAAGAACGGCTTAGTACAGTCGACAGTGACCAGCCGGTGTAAATAACTTAAATTGTAATTAGTTTATTTTGGGCTTAGTGTAAACAATGTAACTTAATTCTAATAAAATTTTATTATTATTAAAAAAAAAAGATTCGAGTCTCGGGTCGAGTCAAATTCAGTTATTGAATATTTGAGCAGTTAAGGAGTTGGTGGTGTTTTATCCTCGCGCCTCGACTCTCACGCGTAGCGTCGGTGTCGGTAACGTCCCGTCAGACGCAAGAGAGTGACAGGAATAGAGAGTTCACGTCGTGTCCGTGCGCATGCGCGCTGCACTATAATACCTTTAAGTTATCTATTTTCAATCGTGGGCAAAACCGATCAGGAGGACATTATTATCATTATAAGTAGTTTATCTGTTAATCTTAGATATACCCTATTATCAGTTTATTATCAAGTGACCTATGCGATATTCTAGAACGTCTGTATATACTAAATATTCGAATTAGTATAACTATTTCAACGTGAAAGAGTAACACGCACACAGAGGTGCACACACGCACACACACATATCAATAGTACCATAGTGCCTACGCTACATAGCACCGCGCCCGCAGGTGCTGGCCATCGTGCGCGCGTACACGGCGGCGCTGGGCGGCAACGCGCTCACCTCGCTGTACTTCGCGCACCTGCTGCTGCACCACAACGCGCACAAGAACCAAGTCAGACAGAAGAAGCCCAATATTATACTACTTTCTTAGATTAACACAAATATTTAACCTTTTAAAAAAAAATGTTTAATTATACTTATTAGTTTTCGAAGAGATGTCGAGTTTCTCGCCGGCTCTTCTCAGCAGAGCTAACTTTGTTTGTATATTATAGTTACTAATAAAAAACGGATAATTGTTTGACCGGATACCGAATATTCGGTGAACTATAAGACCGGATGGCCGGATATCCGGCGGCCGGATATTCGGCCTCTTGTCATGTTATATGATGCTATCATATAATATTATTGCAAGAACTTACGCGTATATTAGTCGATAATGTTGTTTAATTACTCAATTATTTTGCGAGTTTTATAGTTAATGGTCGATTAATTCAAAACATTATCCACATTTGTGATAATATGCCATTGTACCTCGCTACATTTACATGATAATTTTGTATTATTCAACCTACGGATATTATTATTCTTGTAGTGTATTAAAGAAAAAATCGTAGTTTTTAAATATTCCGTATCCGGCCGAATAGCAAAATAAGATAAAATAAGCCGGATACCGGATGATTACCGAATATCCGTTTTATTTCTAATAGTTACGTTAAGAAAACCCCGAAGACCATAAGCTGTTAAAATCGATAAGCTTTTAATATAAAATAAAATCGATAGCTTATAGTCTTTATTCCAGTTACATATTTTTAATATATCTTGTATATTTTTTTACTAAATCGATTTTGAACATGTTCTTACCACATTATCTTCTATTTCAGGGACAATGCCTCCTCTCAGTGGGCGGTGACGTCGTTCACGTTACATATTAAGCACTCTACATATCTTTTGTATTATATAAACCACAGACTAAGGAATGATATAGACAGTGTCATAAAACTAAAAATTAAGCCTAACAATGTTTTAAAATAATACATATATGACAATTAGTATACTGAGTGATAAGTAAATAAATGTTAGTAAGTAAAAATAGATAATAAATTTTATTATCATAATGGGTGCGTGTAACCTTTAATGGTAACATGGCAATGTGTTCTATCTCATTCTCTCGCCGGCTTAATCCTATATATTTATGTGTTTGTCTCTTTTTAGTGTCGCAGTGTAGTGTTTCGTTTCATCGAGTTTCAAATCACAACGATTCTAAAGAAGTTTCACTTCAAAAATTGAATAAGCTAATATTATTATGATATCACCTTTTTAAGGGAAACAAAACGAATGCTAAAAAATATAAGAGAATATGTTATTCTCAAAAATTATGTATTAACTTAACTAATATAAGTATATAATATAAAATTTAATATTCTTTAAAAAACTTAAAATCGAGAATAGTGTAGCATAAACAGTAAATTACGCTACTGTTTTTGGCTTTGAAATTTGTTTTGGCGGGCCCTGTCTATATAATTCTTCAGTCTGAATATAAAACATAAAATATTAAATTTTCTTTGAATTGTATAATTAGTAATCCGAATTAGTTATAAGTTTTAAACTGCCCTTATATAAGACATTTTTGTTGTAAATTGAGCTCTATGACAATGTGATTAGGTTTCTATTAACTTATTAATGTTTTAAAATACAGATTTTAGTTGTTAATTAATACATTTGACGACTCCATGTTTTTTTTCATAATAATGACAAATGACATTAATAATGTTGTCAAAGTTAATAGAATTATTAAGAGGAAAACAAAAAAAAAAAAAAGATTTAGCTTTCATTTTTGACCGACTTCAGAAATGAAAGTTAATTTTATTTTATTATTTTGTGTGTTTTTAATACGCGAGTTCATCGTTAATTATTTTGAATCGATTTTCATAATTAATTTTTAATTAATAGGTTATTATAATACCTCAAGGGTCCCATGGTTTTTTTTTCAAAAAAGGAATCAATTCAAAAAACTATTAACGATAATGGTAGTAAATTAAATTAAAATAATTAAATAAAACTATCTTTTCGGTTTTTTTTCGCAGATTTATTTGGATTTTTGGTTCCCGACGTTTCAAAAGCTTTACAGCAATCATGGTCACGGGAGAGACTTAAGGTTTTATTTAAAATGGCAAATATTTACATAAGTTGCAGTGTATTATGGAATTACTTTTAACTTTTAGGTGATTTTATACAAGTATATGTTGACAACTGATACTTATGACCCCGTGACTGTGTGCTTGTCTACAAAAACCATCGATCAAAAAAGTACTAGATACACAATCCCATTCAAAAGTTCTCTTGCAACTGTCACCAATTGTGCTTAGGTAATTATTCTAGTTCAAATAAATATACAACAATGTAAATTGAACCTTAAACGCAGTGCCTAAAGTTGTTTTTACAAAAAAAATTAAAAGCGCGCTCAAATGTTCAAATGAGCGCTCATTCGGTGAGGACATTTTTTGTCACTGATTGTTTATCTAGTACTTTTTTGACTGATGGCGAAAACTCACTATTACAACTATAGAAAATAAGATACATGGAGTATAAAATTTATTAAATAAATCCAAAAAAAAACAAACTGATAAGTTGGTTAAGATTTTATACATATAATACTTTCTTAGATTTACGCAACATTTTAAATAAAACTATTTTTTCGCCGATGTATTTTGATTTTTGGCTGAGATTTGGTTCAGATTTTATAATTAGCTGTATCTAATAGATATTATTCTTATTAATTATGAAATAATATTTTTTAACAATTCTAGTTTTTAGCTTCTTATACGATATTTTAAATTTAGATCATTATTTTTCTTGATTTGCTTAGAGTTTTCGTGACACATCGAAATTTTATGACAATGTGCATAATTCAATCTCATAGGCATATGTTATTAGCTTTTGATAGCCGATATCCATTCGACGTGACATAAATAATACTTAAGGCACACACAAAACCCATAAAATAAATGATTGTTATTGGAGAGAATTATAAAAGTTTTTTGTGTTAGTTTGATTATTCTAAGGTTAGATTATGATTTAAGCGAGTTTAATGTTTAAAATTATTTTCAGACTAAAATAATTATTTTCGCACGTTATTTGATTTGCTAAAAATGCCATTATATCACTACATATTATAAAACAGTCTCGTCTGTCTGTCTGAACGCGATTAACTCAAAAACTCCCGAACTGGTTTTCATATAGTCTTCACCAATGACAGAGTAATTCATGAGTAAGGTTTTAGGTGTATAATTCATTAAAGGTTTTGTGTAAATTGGCTAAAATATGACGATGATTTTTGAAGATATCGTAAATAAATCACTGGCTGGCGTGCATCGTGTACGCCAATACAGTTATATGAACACAATATATTACGGAATTATTCCCCTTAAAAGATCTATTAAACTACATGTGCACGTACATAAAGACGTACCCGAGCAAAGTGAGGGCAAATAATTAGTTACTAAATATAAGTAAAAACTCGGAAAAGGAAAATGTCAATTCAAAAATAAACTGAAAATAAAACAATATATAACTACCTATATGATCGTGAATTTTAATTTTATATTTGTATTTTTTTTACAATATTTTCTCTTGTAGAAGTTTGCTTTTAATTAATACTTTATAAATAGTACACAAATGGCTGTAATGGAATTTACTATAATACAAAATCTTTATAAATTTTTTATATACTCATTATATTAATCAATAAGTCTGTCTGTCTGTCCGTAGTAGAAGTAAAAATTGTAGTCGGTTTCAGTTTTTTTAATTTGCCATTTGATATAGATATAATATTAATTACTATAATGCTAGCTAAAAATTGTAAGGAGGCTAAAATTACATATAAAACATTTCCATATCAATACATCCATGTAGTCTAGGATTCGAAGTGAGATTGTCTATCACTCATCTGCTTACTGGATGATAAGTACTAAAATATAAAAAGTTTTGTTTTTTTTTTGTGCTTCGTTTAATTCACTGTTTCATGAACGATTTCTCGCCAACAACTTAACTTTTGCATATTTCTCATACTTTGTGTTTTCAATTAATATGAGGTTTATTTAACAAATGTGTTTAAAAAGTTTTGTAAAAAGGAAGAGGTTGTACTTTGGCCGGTATATACGTTATTTTACTATACTTAGATACCCAGACACTTTAACAGGCAATCCATCTACGATATATTTGCCTATATAAGCATTTAATGCAAGTTACTTTTTGTCCAGTAATTAAGTGATCTTAATCCCCATCTTATATTAAAAAAAGCATTTTTTAATCATTAAATTAAATATTTTAACAGCTTGTAGTAATGTAAGTTCAAAGTGGACTTTGTTGCTATGAAATTAAAAAAAAATCAACTGATTGAGCTGTAAAGTACCGGACAGAGCAATGGTATAGCTAATTGCTGTCTCTTTCTAGAATTTTTATTGTCTATGTAGATTGGCCTTTTATGACATAGTGACATGTGACAATGTCATACATGTGGCTTAAAGAAATCTTAATTAAACATATGATAAACCGACCAATCTCCCTCGTGTCTTCTCCATTCTACGTGACATTGGCGAAATAATCTGTGCTCAACTGGCACGCTTTTAAGAGGATTGTGAACCTGTAAATTTTCATACAAAAAGCGATAACGTTTTTCCCCCCTTAAACATAGTCTAATTTTCATAATTTTTGGAAATGTTGTAGATATAATCAAAATCTAGGTCCGTACGTTTTAATTTTTTTGAAATATTGCGTACGACAGAAGTTATTAGCATCTAAATATCTATATTTTTGACCTAAAAACTTCCTCCAGCGTTTTTATTTTTTTAAATTAAACTAAACTGAATTACAAAAAAAGGAAAACGTACAGACCTAGATTAAGGTGTACTGAATCTAATGAGACCAAAATCGTCTCATTTCGTTAATGTTTAGGGGGGTGAAAACGTTATCGCCCGAAACAATATTTCAAAAAGGAAATGTAGGTAATTGAGTCTAAGACTTGCAACTCTCTCTATCGCACCATACGGGTCGGGGGCAGGGGCATATTTTAGACTGTAGTGATGTTGAAGGTGCTATCGATATTATTATCTCCTAGGGAGGAGAAGGTAATATCGATATATCGATCGATACTGAAAGGATTCAATCCAAAGTTTAGAATTTTATTATACTCGTATGTATAGATTGTAACTAAGCCGTATCTGTACATTAAATATTTTTTGGAAAATATTATTGAAATAAACATTATTATCGATACAGAGGCCGAATCTATAGTTTTTTGAATTTTTGTCTCTCTGTCTGTATGTCTGTCTGTCTGTTACCACGTCACAGAAAAACCACTGGAGAGATTTTGATGAAATTTGGTGTGGTGGTAGCTGGTGGTGGTATCCGGATCAACATATAGGATTACTGCGGGAAAATATCTCATTTCTGAGAAAAAATACAAAACTGCAATGTACGAATATACTAATATGTAAAACCTACGAATTTGTTTTTGGTCATATGAACGCGGGCGGAGCCGCGGGCAATGCTAGCTAAACATAAAAAGTTTCAATTGCATAGCTCTTTTACATTAGATTTTATTGATATCTAAAAAACTCCGATTTCGTCACTGACTCACTGATGATCATCAAAACTCTTAGGGTACTTCCTGAAGTCCTAGAAAGCTAAAATTTGGTATGTATACTAGTATTATAGTTCAATCGGAATCTGACAACAATATATTGAAAACCTGAAGTTTTATAATTTTCAAATGTTAGCAGGTATATAAGGATTAGAAATTCGTAAAATGCCCCCTCTGTCCAGCTACACTCGAGAAATGGGAGGACGCAAAGCGTTGAAAAATAGTTTTTTTCAATTTCCGGCTCACTGTGATGTTCTATCGAAAAATATTTTCTACAAATGTAAAAGGTCTAGTAAAAATCTACAACTTTGATAAATAACACTTTCTACGATAACCTCAAAGTTTTCGAGATATTTGTTTGTATAAGTTTAAATGAGTAAGGGTTTCCTACACCCCTCCACCCCTCGCCCTCCACCGGTCACGCGTTTTCTTTTGCTAATTGCTGGACTACTACCGTTTAGAAGGAGCAATAAAAATACTTTTATTTTTGTAAAATTTATATTTTTAATTTTATATTCGTTATAATTTATAATATTCGTTATAATTTTAAAAAAATATTACGAATAGCATATGTATATTTATAAATATACACATACTATTCGTTATAATTTTTTCGAATTTATCGATATTTTATTAGTTTTTGCAGTTAATTTTATTGATTTTTCTGAAAAAAATTATTTTAGGACAATTACAAAAAGAAATGAAATTCATTCGTAATCTAATCTTGTTTATTCATTAGTTAAAAATATATTTTAAAAAATTAAGTTGATATATTTTATAAAATTTAGTCATAGATTTGTTAAAAAATCGTAAATCATAATCATTCATGATCAGGTCATTTTATGAATTTCTATTCCTTATATACCTGCTAACATTTTAAAATCATAAAACTTCATGTTTGCAATAAATAAATTATTTTAAAAATAAAAGGATTCCGATGGGTCTATTAGTACATAAACAACAAAAAATTCTAAAACTTTCAACTTTTGGAACGAGCTTTTTGTAATTGATCTAAATCACCTATTTATTTTTCTATGATTTTTTGAAGTCATCAATCTAAACAAGTCAAATTTTAAATGATATTCGCCACAAAATTGTAATTTAGAGTTATTTCAGTTTATGAATAAAGGTGCGATGTAACTTGTAGGGAATGTATATTGTACGCAAACCGTTAAAATAATAAATATTAGATAAACTTTGAAATTGCTCTTGCGCCGAGTCGCGCCGCCCCCGCCCCCGCCCCCCGCGAGCGCCCGCGCGTCACCGGCTGCTGCTATCATAGTGTGTGTGAGAATTTGCGTATGTTGTATTTGTGTTGTTCACTGCCGGGGGGATGCAAAGCGGTATGAAACAGATAGCATTTTTAAAAATACCTACTCTCGCCGCGTATCGGCACTTCACAATCCTCTTAAGCCATTAAAAATAGCATTGAATTGAAGAAATCTTGTCTTTATATTTGTTTAGACTCCTAGTCTATGCTTAGTCCATTTTTTATGTCTATGGAATAACCGTTATTTGTCATACATGTTTTCCAGACAATTTTTCTGCTTCCTTGTTTCTGATTATCATGTTTATGAAATTATACAAAAAAATTATTATTTGTAAATAATTTTAAGTAAATGAAATTTATTAGATTAAATAATAATAATAATAAAATAACTTCTTTTATGACATGTGACTGGTAAATTTACTTGTAGTCGTTTTCCTATTTATCGTAACAATGTGTTTTGTACATTTTTGGTAATAATTTACCATTTTCAATGTGAATGTAATGGTAAAATAAATAATTTTATGCGAAAAATACTGCTTTTTTTTTAAATTCTATGATTATTTTTTTTTAATCTGTTACAATTATGTTTTATAATATCGTCGTTGATACTGCAATATCGCGTAACCAACAATGGCTAAAACCGCGTAACTTGGTAGTGATAAATTTTACAGCAGAGAGAAAAAACTTAATATTTTCATTATTACTGCATCTTTTGCCGACTGAACTGTAAAATGTATTTAAATTTATGTATTTTATTTTCTATTAGGGTTCTTAAGTTGTTAAATTCACTATTCGATTAAAAAATACACTTTCTCGCTATTGCATGTTCAAAAATGAGTCGCACTTGAGCATTTTTAGTAGTTACGCGTAATTACAAAAAGCATAAAAATAAAAATTATGTATTATAAGGATCATTTATTACTTAAGTTTACTTAATGAATAATAATTATTATATCTCAGATACATCAGTCTCAAAATGTCAATCGTTATGAACTACATTTTAACTAACGTAAGAAGTAGAAAAAGTACCTTTAGGACCAATAATGATACCACGTAATAAAAAACATACAAATAAACTGTAGAAACAAAATTAAAAACTTAAATTATTAAACTCCAGAAACAAAAATTAAACTATATCAAAATCTAGTAACATCAATTATAATAGGATATGCCTTAAAGAGTCATAAATTTGGTACTCTTTGACGCTGTAGTTTGATAAAGCTATGATCTGGTTGTATAACTTTATAAGGAAAAGGTTTTTTCTGGCCTCTTTAGTCAAAGAAGCATACTGTGATGGCAAGAAAATTTCAATATTTTTGAGTTTTCTTTCAATAAGTGAATGGACCGAATCTACCTAAATTTGCGTGTGTCCTTTTTCGAGGTATTTTTGTGTAATTGTAACATTTTTATCCATTTCTAGTCTAAGAAGAGCGTTAGAAACAACAGTGTATCTGTTTTGAGCACTGCATCCGTCAGTCCATATAACTACATCTTTAAGATTTTCATTTAACAAGTTTGTCAGATAATCTACGAAAAACGAAGCATAGGTTGTAGCTTTTAGATCACAGGTTGTTTCATTGAACCAATAACACGTAACGTCATCTGTACCTAGATTATAAACAGTGAAGCTATGTACCGCTAACTTGGTCTTAAAATACAATGCACTAGCCGATAGAGAAGGACATAGTTTTAGAGCAAATCAGCAGTTATGGTATGATATTGCCCAAGTTTTGCAAGTTCTTTGTCTTTTCGGATCGAGTTAAGTTTTTCAGCTGGATGTGGCGGTGGTAATCTTCCTCCCGAACGTTACCTGCCTTGTATGAACAGCAATAGTCACAAGCATCTTTTTCAGCTAGAAACAAGGCGATATTTTGCTCCACAAGTATGTCAAAAAAGAGCTTTCTCGAAGCTACTAGCTTCATAGAGGTGTTCGACAAGTATACTAGTACGGACGCGTATTTTGCTGTTGTTTACGTAGTAAGATAATAAAATTCTTGGAAGGACGCGCTCGCGGTGCTACCTGCTACGGCGGGTAAACACCTGCACGGTCATATGACGATTTGCTATGAATAATAGTAACAGTTTAAATGAAGAAAATACAAATGAATCGTATACAATCGAATCATGTTTACAAACGGAACAAAGTGAAATTTATATGCAAGATCAAATAATGAATTCGGAATACATTGATAGCAACTACAATATTATGAGACCAAACAAACGTGTGAGAGACATAGAGGAAAATACTGAGGAGTGGACTATGGTTACGGGAAATGGGAAAAAAATAATAAGAAAAGATATACGAAGTGAAAAACAAAGCTTAGAGGAAACATTAATTGAAGTATGTATATATTCCAAAAATAAAATACCAAAACAATTTCATATGGCCAAATTATTAAAAAAAGAAGATATACGTAATATTACAAACGTGAAATATTTAAATCCATATAAAGCATTAATAAAATTTAGTGATGAAGAAAGTGCGGAAAAACTGTTAATGTGTACATCTCTTATTGAAATGGAATGGAAAATGCATAAAACGTTGGAAGTCGGGATTTCATATGGTGTTATCAAAAATGTGGAGATCGAGTTATCAATCGAGGAAATTAAGGAAAATACAATGTCGGAAAGTGAAATAATATCAATTAAAAGGCTCATGCGGAGAAACGAGGAGGGTTTGGGATGGTCAAATAGTGAAGCAGTTAGACTAGGATTCAAGGGTCCATCGTTACCACCATATATACATGTATATGATGTTAAAGTTAAGATAGAACCATACATATTTCCTGTAACCCAGTGCTCAAAATGTTGGAGGTATGGACATATTAAAAAGTTGTGCCCTAGTCAAAAAATAATATGCCCGAAATGTGGATCAAACCATGTTAATTGTGAAGCTACTGAGTTTAAATGTGTGAATTGTTTAGGTCAGCACATATCACTTAGTAAATCTTGCCCTATATTTATTAAAGAGAAAAGATTACGGGAACTCATGGCTGAATTTAACTGTTCTTATAAAAAGGCGTTGACTATATACATTCCGCCTAGTCCTTCGGGAATAGTTGCATCAGCTCGGAAGGAAGAATTACACACTGAAGATATTTCTATGATAATTCCTTCAACATCTCAGAGAAGTTATGTGGAAGTTTTGAAATCGTCAAATACTACATATGGCAATACAGAAACGGCGAATCAAAAAATCACAAAAAAAGTTATTGAAAAGAAAAGTAAGAAGAAGAAATCTATGTCAACAAATAATCAGACTGGAGAGTCTTTTGATTGGGGAATGTATTCAAACAATGAATCTGACAGAGAATCCTCTATCGATGAAGATACAACAGAAAATAAAGAAAAACCGAAGATTTCATTTATTGAATTACTTAAGAGAATATCTAATATTTGCTTTATGAAAAATCTATCCACGAAAAAGAAGGCAGAACAGGTAGTTTGTGTTGTATTAGAATGGGTTGTATATATAATTGAAAGCAAAATATCAGCGTTTACAATATTAAAACAATTATTTAATATTGGAAATGGGTGATCAAAGTAAAATTAATAAATTAAACCTAATGCAGTGGAATGCGCAAAGTGTTAAAGGTAAATTAGCTACTCTTAAACAATTATTATGGCAAGAAAAAATACATATTGCTGCTATATGTGAAACATGGTTAGAATCTGGGACAAATATAAAAATTAGCGGTTATAATATTTTTAGGAAAGATAGACAAGATGGTTATGGTGGTGTGGCCATCTTAACTCATTGTACAGTAAAAGCTGAAGCGATTCCAATATATGCTAATAATAATTTAGGAATGGAATTATTACATGTGAAAATTCTAAATTGCTTGGATATTAAAAGTATAATCGTAGTATATTGTCCACCCTCTTTAAGAACTACAGAGTCAGATTGGGATTTTCTATTTTCTATTGCTAATACAAAGACATTAATTTTAGGAGATTTTAATGCACATCATCCAAACTGGTCCAATAAAACTGACCAAAAGGGCTCTCAAATATTCAATGCTTTATTAAATAGTAATTTTGTTACTTTAAATGGGCCGCAGTCAACTCGGATAAAATTAGTTAATAATAGATTACAGTCATCTTCCCCCGATTTATCAATAGCGTCATCAGATATAGCTGCTAAAATTTACTGGAATGTAACTAATGAGACATTAGGTAGCGATCACCTTTTTATTAAACTGTCTACATTTCTTACTTCAACCTTTAAACCTATTGTAAAAAGAAATTTTAAAAAAGCGAACTGGCATATGTATAAGGAATATTTAAGTAATGTTTTTGCCAACCTTATATTACCAAATGATACACAAGAAGCTTATGATTTAATTGTTTTATTAATAAATAAAGCGGCGGACAAATATATACCCTTAATTAAAATAAGTCAAAATCCGAATTTTAAACCTAAAAGTTACTGGAACAGCAATATATCTAAAGCTGTCGCTGAACGTAGATTAGCTCTAGCTTGTTTTAGAAAAAATCCTACACCATTTAATTTAACTATACTGCAAAATAAGATAAGCGAGTGTCAAAAATTAATTCGGCAAGCTGACAATATGTCTTGGCAAAAATATTGTTCATCTTTTAACGAAATATCAACCACTTATGACATGTGGGATCGTATGCGATGGTTTAAAGGTTATAAAGTGGCTAGAACAGGTATTAATGAAAATGTTGCTAAATTATTTTTAAAAACTTTATCGCCAGATTATGTTTTACCTTCAACTCCTAACTTTAACATAAATAATACTGTTTTAGAAAGTCCTTTTACAAAACAAGAAATATTATCAGTTATAAAATCATCGGATACGGCTCCTGGATCTGATGGGATATCCTACTCCATGCTTAGAAATCTACCAGACGAGGCTATCAAGATTTTAGCTAATTTGTATAGTAGGATTCTGACTTTTAGTTCTATACCAAAGCAATGGAGGGAAATAATGATAATTCCTATACCAAAACCAGGTCGAGATCCACAATTGATTACATCTATTCGACCAATTTCTTTAATGTCTTGTATGTGCAAAATTTTTCATTCTATTTTGAATAAAAGATTAGAGTGGTACTTTGAAAAAAATGAACTATTTTCTGACTGCACTGTAGGGTTTAGGAAATTCAGATCATGTCAGGACAATTTAGCTAATTTAACAACCGAAATTCAGATAAATTTTTCTAATGATAAATCTACTCTTGCTTGTTTTGTGGATATAGATAACGCTTACAATAATGTCAATATTTCTTCTCTATTAAATACATTAAATAAGTTTGGAGTGGGAACCAAGATTTGTAATTATTTGTGGAGCTTTTTAAGGGAACGTTATCTTACAATTAGTGTCAACGAATCAAAATATAGCAGGAGTACATCCTTAGGCCTAGCACAAGGAGATCCCCTTTCTCCGTTATTATTTAATATTGCTACCATACCAATTTGTAACCAAATTAATAATGTGAGCTTTTCCCAGTTTGCTGATGATTTTGTTATATATACTTCAAATAAAGATATTGTAACCGCTCAACAAAAAATACAAGAATCTTTAACATTATTTAGTAAGTTAATAAATAAAATAGGATTAGATATCTCTCCGACTAAGAGTAAAGTTTGCTTATTTTCAAAAAGTAGAAGAAATGAAAATGTCATTGTTAAAATTAATAATATTCCTTTACAGTTTGTCAATAAAGTTAAATATTTAGGACTATGGTTGGATCGTTCGTTGCGATGGGGTAAGCATATAGAGGAGACAATTCAAAAGATATCAAAATTTCTTAATATTTTAAAAGTATTAGCTGGAAATAATTGGGGGGTCCATCCAAAACATTTAAGGCTTCTTTACAGTTATTTGATCCGAAGTCGAATGGACTACGTTAGTTTTCTGTACAATAATGCTGCAAATAGTAATTTAGTAAAATTAGATAAACTACAGAATCAAGCCATGAGAATAATAGGTGGTTTTATTAAATCAACTCCCATACATGTTATGGAAAGTGAATTACACTTACCACCATTATTTATTCGTAGACATTTTTTGGCTCAGAAGTTTTGGTTAAAATCAAAGTCATTAAAAAATTGTAAAATTGTCAAATTGCTTGAGGAATTGTCACAACTTTGTGTGACTAGGAATTACTGGTTAAACAAAAAAAAACCTTTACTAGTAATAGTCCATGATAATTTAAAGATGAAACACATACAATCTAGCAACAAATTGGAAATGTTTTCTTTAGAAACTTGGATTAGCAATATAGACGTTCGCAATTTTACTAAATCTGATATTCCTTCTTTGAAAAATAGCAAAAATACATATGATACAACGCAACTAAAGACAATAACGTATAATTTTATTACTGAAGCATATAATAATTACTACCAAATATTTACTGATGGATCAAAAGATAAAGATGGATCAGGAGCAGCTTTTTATGATCCACAAACTGAAGAGTATATGTTATTTAAAGTAGATCATCATATATGTATCATGTTTTTAGAACTATTAGCAATTACAGAGGCATTGTCATATATACAAACAGTTAATACTAAGCATGTTGTCATATTTACTGATTCCAAGAGCTGTCTACAGTATCTAGTACGATGCACTTCGGCTTATCGATGTGCACCGATAGCATATACTATTGTAGACCAAATTTATAAGCTCCAATTAAATTCAACAATAATTGTTCTGCAATGGATACCATCTCATGTGGGTATAATAGGGAATGAAAAAGTTGATAGGTTAGCTAAACTAGCATCGTTTGAGGGTATCAACATAGAAGGAGTTCCTTATTATACAGATTGGCTTTGGTATACGAAAGAAAAGTGTACAGATCTTTGGAATGAATATTTTGACAAGCGAGCAAAAGAAAAGGGGATTTGGTATAGAACAATGCAACCACAGCCTTGGAAAAAGTTATGGTTTGATGACTGTACTCTTAGTCGAAGTGATTTAATTGTAGCGTTAAGAATTCGCTCCGGACATATTCCATTAAATAAGTTTAAATTTATTATGAAAAAAGTTAATACTCCCAATTGTACAGAATGTGGTAAAATTGAGGATGTATATCACATCTTGATGGAATGTGTCCGAAATGAATATTTTAGACAATATCTACAAATAAGCTTAAACGTTAACCTAAACATTACTGATTGTATATCCTTTTTATCATTCCCTACTAGTGCTAATGCTAAACTACTATATAAATTAGCAAAGATATGTATAGATTTAAGAAAATAATTTAATTTTTGTTTACCTTACAGAGCGACATAGTCAACTTTTGACTAAGCTCTTTAAATAAAGAGAAAAAAAAAAAAAAAAGCTACTAGCTTAGATGCTGACGAGGCATATTCGACATATAAGTTATACAACTGTGACTTGGATTGTATTATAGGTTCCACGTACTGTTTTGTGCTTGTTTGGCGGCAATAATGTGACGGCAATTTGGGCAATAAGCTCAGGTAACTTTTTACAGAATTTCATTTAGAAGTAAGCGAACTTGGAGACAAAATAGTGTGAACAGAATTATCATCTGCTCTTCCACGAAGCCAGTAGCGAACAGTCCACTCCTTTATATCTAGTGTCGCCAGAAATGTTTTCAAGCAAACTCTTTCCTTCTTACCGTGTATTTGCAGGTAATATAATCTTGTTTCCGACCGTCTAGATTTACTTCCTATCGTCTTCCTTTTTACACTTTCTGTGTCAACCATCGACCGTACATACATTTTATTCTCTTTCCACGCCATGCTCCAGAAACGTTCAATAATCTGTTGTTGAATGTCCTCAGTCAAATTGGAACAAAATAGAACTTTACTACGAGCACAAAATGACGAACTGCACTTAGGGCCCATAGCCCTCTGAGGTTTTGATTCTTTTTGAACATACTTATTATTAACTTTTCTAAACTCAATATATACTTTTCCTAACATCCTATTTTTCTTGTTTAATTCTCTTCTCCAAGTTTCACGGTGCTTTTGATGCATCTCCCTCTAAATTTTGTTCCGGAAACGAATCAAAGTCATCAATAAAGTTAAATAATATTATAATCTTGAAAATACCAGTCTTTCAGTGAATAACTAACTTATTTATCAACCAAAAATTAACATTTACTTACCCGCAAGTCCAATATTTCTTCAAAATAACATTCATATTCACGAACCGCAAACAAAACGACCATGCGTTCTATAACATGTGGCGCAGGTACGCGGTATTAAAGTTACACTCTCGTGTGAGAGCTGCTCTCGCGGTTTTGGCTAGTGTCGTTTCTAGCGTTTTGAGTGGATAACGCGCTCACCTGACGACACGAGGCGAAGCCAATCACTATCAAGAGCATATATGCGCGAAATCTCAATTTTGATTTTTTTGTAGTTCCGCGGTATTGACCACTGTTGGTTCCGCGGTATTGCAGTATCAACGACGATATAGATAATGTTCACACAACTAGCGAAAAAAATATTCCGAATCCAGCGGCAGCAACACGCTTACACATTTATTGTTTTATTTAAACCACTACATTGCCAAATGTTGTGAAAGGGATAGCGTAACCAAAACTATAAGAAAAAAAGAGACAGCTAGTGTTTGTCATTTACGCATAAGTTTTCTTTGAATTACGTAATCATGGCGTCTTTATTTGTGTACAAAAAATTAAACCATCAAAAAAGTACTAGATACACAAACTCGCCAATTCCGATTAGGTAATAGTTCTAATTGAAATAAATGTACAACAATGTAAATTGAACCTTAAATACAATGCTTAATGTTGTTTTCAAACAAAAAAAATTGAAAGCGCGTTCAAATATTCAAATGAGCGCTCATTCGGTGAGGACACTTTGTCGCTGATTGTGTATTTAGTACTTTTTTGATCGATGGAAAAACCTAATGTTATATTTATCCGGTTATCAAGGTGGGAAACTTGGCGTATTTTTGTATTTTTCACTTATTCGAAAGCGACTAAGACGAAAGAGGACTAAAGCCTCCATTTGTGCGCTTCACTTTTAGAGCGCTAGTAACATATCTATCTCTGTTTTTATATCAATTATAATTGATATGATATATGATAATTATCATTGATCTGCTAGATAATATATAATTAAAAGTGCGGTAAGAAGACATTTTCATTTTAAAAATATCTACATAACAATTTCATTTCGATTATTATTTAATTACAAACTTTATTTTTAACTTAAGTAAGGTATTTAATACATACATACAAATGTGCGTGTTGGTAGATTCTAGAATTTTTGGCATATATTATATAATTGGTATGTAAATAGTTTATGGGTCATAGAATGAAACAGATCTCTATATATTCTTCCCCAGAAGATTATAAGCGGGCATAATTATAATAAAAGTCGGTCAGCTTGTCACAAATATGTATTTATTTAAAACATTACAATATTAAATATTCTGCTTATCAAACGAACGCGGAAAATGTTGACAACAAGAACCGTTTACCTAAGTCTATAATACTTCAGCGATAAGTACATCCATATTTTGTTGTTCGGATAATTTGTCGAAAATATCGCCATTAAAATGTGTGAAACTACAACTTATAAATAAAATATTTTATAATACGGTTGCATAATATTACAATATTGCAAAGTGATTGACAAAATATTCAATAATAATTATTTAAATTAATTTAAACCTAATAGTATTTTTTTTAAATTACAAAAATATACCAATCCAACACATTTAGCTGACGATCGAAATTCGGATACTCATTACAACACTATAATAAAGGATAAACTATTAACTACTAAATATATCTATTAACATACTTTAAAATAGGGATGTTACAATGTCTCGGACAATGGATAACGGCTAAATATTAAGACAATCGGATACTTGTACTAGCGTATGAGGAACTTACAATGTTTTGGACTAAGATACATGGGTCGACGTTCAGTGAGGCGGTCAGCGGCGGCCGAAGCGAAGGAAGGAGTGGACCACGTCTTGACGCTTCATACCGGTGTCGAGGAGTTGAGGGTAGTCGCGGACTAAAGCTGGGGAAATAATAAATAAATATATTATACCAGCGTTGCCCGCGGCTCCGCCCGAGTTCGGATGACCAAAAACCAAATTCTTAGGTTTTACATATTAGTATACTCTTACATTGCAGTTTTTGTATTTTTTTTTCAAAAATGTGATATTTACCCACGGTAAAAATTATCCTATATGTTGATATCCGAATAACCAGCTATCAGCATACCAAATTTCATCAAAATCCTTCCAGTGGTTTTTCTGTGATGCGGTAACAGACAGACAGACAGACAAAAATTCTAAAAACTATAGATTCGGCCTCTGTATCGCAAAATAATGTTTATTTCAATAAGATTTTCCAAAAAATATCTAATGTACAGATTCGGCTTAGTTACAATTTTGTTATATGTATAGACTACTAGCAATTTACACTTGCTTTGCTCGAGTGCGTATGTAGCATATGTTTTAGTCCAGATAGTGTATCTGTGTTATTTTCATCCAAATCCGTCCAGCCATTTCAGTACGAAAGAGTAACAAACGTACACACACACAAATATTCGTATTTATAATAGTACCTAATCCGATATTGTAAATGTTTAGTGTTTTTTTTTATTTTTTTAGATGGTTTCATTTTAAGTACCTACCTACTGTGCAATTAATGATAATACATACTTTAAAAAAAAATTCCTACCCTGACTTCAACTTGAAATTTCATTCTTAGTAGTATGTATTTTATTTTAATTTTTATGAGACAATATGTGTAAAATATTCATAATAAAATATACAAATACAGACATTGAATACCTCCTACTTTTGAAGACGGTTAAAAAAGAAATAAATGAAATGATCTTATTAGACTTTATTTTAGAAATAACAATTATGAAATAATCCTACAACAAAAGCTTCCAAGGCACACCAAGTCAATTTCACAAAAAGTTATAAGTTACATGGTAAACAAACATATCTATAACCTGCCCGATAGTGAGCAGTAACTGTACTATATATAGTTTAAACAACACTCGAGCTTTAACTGATGTAGAAAACAAATAGGAAAGGATGGAACGAAGTTTATAGTAAATTGGAGTGTTAGCCATTTTACTTGTTATCTAGTGACTTTTAAGTTAATAACTAAATACCAACCTTGGTACTCCGGCACTTGTTCTCCAGCAGCTTCAGCATACAACTCGAGGAAGGTGTTCAGTGCTTGACAGAACCTGGCAGCACGAGGGTCGTCCTCCGCCGCCGCACAGAGCTGCGCAGGCGCACCCCGCACCCCGCACGCGCACCACGCCACCACCGCGCATAGCACGACCACGCGACACGCTTCAGCACTTCTGCAATAGAAAAGCTAGTTTTCATTCCATATAGCGACTTGCTGTGCATCCCTAGGTGTCTAATAATGTTAATGTGTGTTTTTTTTATTTTTTATGCAATAGCTTATATCATAATTGCAAAAAATGTCCAGCTCCAAAAAATTACAATTTAGTATATTTTTCTTAGATATCATACCGATACGCATAGTAAGTTACACGCCCGTCATTTCGCGCGTCTTAAAGTTATAGCTGATATAGAGACGCTTGGCGTGACGTCAAAGTATATATATTATACACAGAAAACGTTTAATCATATTGATGTATGAACACACATATGTATACACTAGCGAATCACCCTCGCTAGTGAGTAATAAAATAATAAATAATAAACATGTTGGGACATAACACACAGCACCATTTAATTCCATGGTAAGCTACGAGGCTTGTGTTATGGATACCCACAGGGATACCAGATAGTTGATACACTACACATATATAACTTTAAATACATACATATTATAAATATAAACACCCATGACTGGAGTACAAACATTCTTGCTCATCACACAAATGTATGCCCTGTGGGACTCGAACCCGCGACCTCTGGCACAGCAAGTAGGATCACTACGAACTGAGCCAAACGTGTCGTTGTAGTATATACATATATATGTAACATCACCATAGTCGAACATGCGACCAGCAGCATAAGCTTAGAGATAAGTTATGATTAAAAAGTAACAATTAAGTCTTGCCAAAGTAAGGAAAACTTTAGTATGATTAGTAATTTTCATGAACCATTCCTTTTATAATATTTCATACCCAAATCGGCTTAACTTTGATTAAAGTCTAATTATACAAAGAAAACATCTATAGTAGGAATAAGTTTATTAATATTAATGAAATTTTTGACAAAAAAAACATTTTTTTTAAATATATACATATAATTATAGCCTAGTGATAACGCGCTCGCTTGGGAAATTGAGTGAAGCGGGTTCAAATCCCGGGTCTCGCACTTCTGATATTTCATGTGCTAATCATTTCTAACATGATTACGACTTGTCTTATGGTGAAAGAAAACGTCGTGACGAAACTGTTTCATGTCTGGAAGAACCTAGCAAGTTTTTGAAATACATCCACGGTGGCCTGATCCCCCTCGTATTGAAGGGAGGCCCGTGCCCAGCAGTGGGAAGTTAGAAAATCTGAATGCAATTGTAATCATTTAAAATAACTAACACGCTAGCTCGTCTAGATAATATGATCAGATTCAATCAACAATTTAGGTCATAGACCAATTAAGAACAATCGTGGTTGATGTAAATTAGGTTATAATATGACATGAGGTCGTAGCAGATTCGATTCTAAACATCTATACTAATATTATAAAGAGGTAAAGTTTGTGAGTTTGTGAGGTTGTAGGGGATAATCTCTGGATCTACTGAACCGATTTAGATGAAATTTGCTAAGAAGATAGTTTGAGACCCAGGGAAAGACTTAGGATACTTTTTATCCCGGAAATCATCCCTTAAGGGGGTGAAAATGGGGATGAAAATTTGCACGGGGAATCAACCTAGAGACGAACCCAAGCGAAGCGAGGTTGAGTCGCTAGTATTACGTATTTAACCGCTAGTCTAAGCACCTTTCACTCAGGTCAGTTTTTGTTATAGTATTAAATGGAAACCGTCATATATGTAGGTACGAGCCATGCATACATTTCATCATGGTTGTTTTTTTTATATAAACTTTGTTTCGAGTTGTAAAAGCGGCACCATAAGCAAACTTATTTTTCCTTTTATTACATTAGTCTAACATGGAATTATTGCAAACTAGCGACTCACCCTCGTTTCGCTTCGGGTTCGTCCACAGACAAAAACATCTATCCCACGGAAACCGTATACTTTTCCGGGATAAAAAGTGACCTATGTGCTATTCCAGACTATAATCTATCTCTATGCCAAATTTCATCCAGATCCGTTCAGCTTTTCTGGCGTGATTGAGTAACAAACATACATCCATCCTCACAAACTTTCACATTTATAATATTAATAAGTATACATTTTTATTTCAATTTCACAAACCTTACATTATTTAATAGGTATATTGTTTATAGTAAGTAGTTGAAACCTATTTGTTTTATTCACCCGCTAGTTATGTATGATCATAATTTTTTCCTTAAAAAATCATATATTGGTATTTGTTAGATATCGCATCTTGTTAGCGAATGTACGAGACCGGAAACACAAAAAGTATAAGGATGTTTTCCTCATTATTTATAGATTGAATGATTATTTCCGTTACGTTCTTGTTATAGGTAGGTACGTAATAATTGGAATAAAAGTTTAAAATTTTTAATTTTTATAAGTAAAATTCATTGATTAAATTCAAAATATGATAAGATCATATGAAATATTAAGTTTCAGAGACTTTCATGAAATATCTATACATGTAATAAAATTGTAAGTAAGCCGAATCTGTATATTAGATATTTTTTGGAAAATCTTATTGAAGTAGATATTATTATCGATACAGAGGCCGAAACTATAATAAATAAAATATAAAAACTGTAATGTAAGAGTATACTAATATGTAAAACCTAAGAATTTGGTTTTTCGTCATCTGAACGCGGGCGGAGTCGCGGGAAATGCTAGTGTGCAATAAATCTGAATGAGAACAACGAGACGTGTCAACTTGTGGAATATTTACATTTAAACATTGACTGACGTTTAATTTAATTAAAAAAAAACCTACGACAGATTTTTATTAGTAACTAACGAAACACCCTCTCCGCTCGGCTTCGTCACTTCGGTGATACTCTAAAAAGATCTAACTTTTTATTTAATGTTCTTAAATAAAATTGAAAAGATTGAAATAAAACAAACAATAAATCTTAAGTGAAGCTTACCACAATACATTAAGAAAAATGAAAACCACACCCAAATCGGTTAAGCCGTTTCTGAGATTAGCGCGCACGAACGCGCAGACAAACAGACAAAATTTTTAAAAATCATTGTTTTGGGTTCTATTGCGTTGATAAAGATCCCTAGTTGATAATATCTTGTGATCCATGATATATATATATATATATATATATATATATATATATATATATATATATATATATATATATATATATATAAGTATATATATATATATATATATATACTTGCTACGAGGCTTGGGTTATAGATACCAGATAGTTGATACACTACACATGTTATATAACTTTAAATACATACATATCATAAACTATAAACACCTACGGCTGGAGTACATACATTCCTGCTCATCACACAAATGAATGACCTCAGCGGGACCCGAACTCACGTCCTCTAGCACAGCAAGCACTACAAACTGAGCCAAACGTGTTGTCAAAAGTACAGATAAGTGATTGTTAAACGAAGTAGGATGCATAAACTAGTGTAGTAATAAATCAGTATCTGAGATCAAGAATTTAGGACAATCCATGTTCCGCCTACAATAAAACAAACCCTCGAAATTGTAAGTCGATGGCAAAAACCGCAATATCGGCATACCGCGAATAAGACGAAATTTATTAAACTTTTTGTTTACCGTAAAATAAATCGCACATTGAATAGTTTATTGTACTAGCGAGTGAATATTTTATTGTTTAGTAGCAGAACTAGTTATAATATTGTTCATACAAAAGTACTAAAATCGCGATTGGAAAATGGGGGGTTGGGGGTTGGAGGGTGAAAAATACTATACGACCTATTCTCATACCTACCAAATATACAAAAAAATCATTAAAATCGGTCGAGTCGTTTCGGAGGACACGGGACACGAGATATTTATATATTAGACTAGTGCTTTGCTCGGGTTCGTCGCTAGGTACGTTTTAAATAGATATAAATAGTTATTAGCTAGCGTTAGCCATATACATTTTAATTTTTTTGCTAATAATATCGACAAATATTGATATTAATATTTATACGATGTTGTTTTTAGACTCTTTCGGGTATTTTTTTAAATTTTTCTCTCCGTAAGAACCATCGTCGTATTTCAAGGAATATTCTGAAAAAAGAATTAGCGAAATCGCTTCTGCTGCTCTCGAGATTTGCGCTTACCAACACATTCAGCGATTCATTTTTATATTATAGAAGATTGATGAGACGTATATGTTTTTACGTTTGAAGTTGATACGTTTTTAGTTTATAGTACGAAAGAAAGGGGTTTGATTACATCTGTAGGTCTACGACTACACGGTATAATCTGTTATCATCACCGTAATATCCGCCATTCAAATTTTCCATTTAAAAATACTTCTTATAATATATCAATGAATAAACAGTAAAAATAATTTTAATGGTTTCTCTAACAATTTTCAAGTTAAAAAATAATATTAGATTTAATTTCAGTACTAAAAATTTTCGCCATTATTACCTAGTGGCTGTTTTCAGACCTGGAAATTCGGATATGTTTTTCATATAATTCAAACCCACCAGTCTATTAAAGGTAGATTATGTAATCCTAAATAAATATAAGCATTTCATCCACAATGTATTCGATTATTAGACTTGCATTCTAAAGTTTTGGTAAACAAGATATAGGAGAAAACCCGCGTAATCTGTTTGCTAAAACCGTTATACCAGTTTAATATCTGTATTAAATAGGCTTTAAGTTTGCGGCCGAAAGCTCTATCACGTATGAATTAAGCTCGTTAAAAAGTTTCGCCTGATCCATTGTTTTTATGTTACACTTTATGGTAGCTCAATTTTAATTGTTAAAAGATTACTAAAGAATAAGAGCTTTTAAAATTTAATTAATTTGTTTTATAAGCAAGTGTGAAATGTAAGACGAAAACTAGTCATTTTTTTAATAGGTAGCCTTGACTATATTTTTATAGAAACTTTTTAACAGTTAGTATAGATTTCTCAGAGATGTATCCTATATGTTGACCTGGATAACCGGCTATCATTATACGAAATTTCATCAAAACCTGTCCAGTGGTTTTGTCGTGATGCGTTCCCGGACAGACATACAGACAGAAATTCTAAAAGCTATAG